CACACGAAACTTTCCTTGTGTTTTTACTTTCTACAACGTTTTGGGCAGTAAATGCAACAATGCATCTAGTGTAGGGGAACGGAAACAACCTCTTTGTTTTTACAAGGGTGTGTACATCTTGACCCCCGCCCAAAGACTCCAACGTACTTGTGATTATACTAGGTTGTTTTTTCCTTGGAAAATGTGAAGGAAATTGGAATCTGATAAATATGTCTAATTTTTTTAATGTTTAGATTTTGTAGTCTTTATATACTCTGTACTAAAAATATCTAAATCAATTGAGTGTAAACATGCATGAGTATTATAAATAAACTTAGTGATTTAGAAATTTAGAATCAATGATTTTTTTCCTCGCATTCTCTTCTCTCAATTTTCCCTTGTATTTTCTTCTCTAATTTATTTCCACTTCATTCTCCAATTTCCAAACAGACCCATAGAAAACTCGACCAGGTTTTGTTGGAGTATTCGTCAGAATATATGGATTAGTGTTACACTTTTGCTGCTTTCGTACCTATCTAATTCTATTTAATACAATAACTTTCAAAACTCATTTCTGGGTTTTATGAAACTTTAAATGCTGTTTTTTGAAAGAGATTAATTCATTGATATGTTAAATAAGATTCTTTCTATGGCAGCACAGCATTCCTCATAGGACCTAAAAGACAAGTGACAATGATGTTGGACCCTGTTCGTATCTACGCATCATCCATATATCTTGCAAGCATCATCATTGCATTGGTTTGTGCTCTATATGTGAGTTTCCTGACTCCTTTCTCTGTACATTCACCATTTCACTGCTCTTATAAGCTGTTTCCTGATCCTTTTCTTGCACTGCTTGCTAAAAAAATGAATCATTAGGTGCGCAACAAGCTACTGACACTTTTGGCCATTATATTGGAGTTTGGAGCTCTTATTTGGTATATACACTATGCTCTCATGTCTCTATATATCTTCTCTGTGATTATCTTGCGTCGGTTATGCTATCCTAGGTTAAAACAACCCAGTAAGGTTCAGTCCCACCACTCTCCCGAGTGGGGTGTGGGGGTGTATGCAGGCAGATTTAACCCTACCTACAAAGGTAAAGAGGATGTATCTGAAAGAGGGGGGTGTGCAGGACTGCATGAGTATAAGCAATTGTTAAATTAGCGACCACCCTTTAACCAAACAGAAAATATGTACTCTGTCTCACCAAGCATGCACGGTTTGATCTAGAGTTATTCTTTTAACCTTTTTACGGTGGTTTTTTTTTTTTTGCGGGGGGAGATGCTATTGAATGTTGGGAGAATGTTGCTTTAACTCAGCAATTTTCCAAAGTTGTCATTTATTTAGTACTCAAACAAAAACTATATTTTTTTGTTCTTTTTTTAATCGAAATGCCCTCTTACAGACTCATAGTTTCCCTTTGTAAACATTTTGTACAAAAAAGACAGTTATCTATTCTGACATGGTTTTGTAGTATTAACTATCCCCATCTATGGGATTTTAGTCGTTGGTTGTTTTGTTTGTGTTGTTGTATTAGGTATCAAAACACTATCCAAACCCTCAATTGCAGTGCCATTTTGGAACCACAATAGTTTTAAATGAAAAAACACATTAATAAAACACCACATTCCAATTCCAAACAGAAAAGAACACAGCACGTTTCAAATTGCCTTTGCCCAAACGCACTCTAAACAACAACAACAACCGACCCACTGGCCCAGTATAATCCCGAGAACAATGAGACCTCACTCATACCTAGAAAAGGTAGAGGAGGTAGATACCCTCTAAATAAATTAACTGAATAGAAGTGGTTGTTAAGGTGTTATATGATATACTTTGCTCTTTGTGACAACTTTTTTTTGGGAGCAGGTATAGCTTGAGTTACATCCCATTTGCAAGGTCCATGGTCTCCAAAGTCATGGTTGCGTGTTTTGATACGGAATTCTAGTGTGGCAAGTTCGTGAGAGGAGAGGGCCAAGGGGGGCTCAGTTTTGCAGTTTCTGTATAGTAAGTACTGTGGTAACCATGAAACCATAGACTCTGATCAAATAGGGCCTGTTAGGTTACAGAACTTCCTTGCCATTTGTGTGGAACTCAAATTACATATCGTTTCTACTAAACTCTTCTGTACCCTAGACTCTTCTGTCTGTGATTGGGATTGGTATATATGTATGCCAAGTTGTTTACAACTAACAAATGAAACTAGGGTTCTTATTTCGTACTTTCTGTTATGTTTTGGACAGTAAATGTAACAGTGCATTTTGGGTCTAACGGAAACAGCCTCTCTGTAGCATACAATAACTACAGAGTATAAGGAACTTAGGAAGGTTTTGTGTATAAAAAAGGAAAATGCTTGGGGAACCTCACTGGTACATCAAGGCAAAAATAGGCAGCCACAGACACTTAATGTCTGTGCACAGACGTTGAATGTTTGTGTATGCCTAATTTTGCTTTGATGTAAGTTTGGTGTACCCCAAGTGGAGTTCCCCTAGCACTCCCCGTAAAAAAACATCATCTTACTCTATAGGGGTTTGCTAGAGGTACTTGGTGTACACCACCATTCTCAGAAACACACAGACATCCACTGTCGCTGTTTCAAAATTTTGACTCCAAAGTCAATTAAACATGGGGGATGCAATTGAAAAGGGTGGGGCGGTGGGTTCGGGGCGGCGTGGGGTGAGGGGGTTTATTGTGAGGGGTAATAACCGTCAATTTTACGAATGAATCATCGTATGGCCCCTGAGTCATCCCATGTCATTGCTTAGCAATGTCAAAGGAACTGGGGTGCTTTACTCGTGCATTTTTACACTTTTTATTTATCAAACATGAAATCAATTTTTTTACTTTACATTTTTACCCTCTTTATTCATTAAATTATTCTCTTTGTTTAATAAGACGTCTACTTCTCTACTTAATAGGAGTAATTATTATTATTATTATTATTTGTTATTATTGTTATTGTTATTACCAAAAAGAACTAAACAAAATTGTGCACAGTTTGTGTTTTAGTATTAGGTTTGAACTTCAAACCAAGAGAGGTTTTTGTACAAACAAAAGCACGAGAGATTCTATCATGACAATGTTATTTTGCTAATGTTATGTTTCTCACATTTTGCTAACTCACATTTTTCTCACATGTTATTTTCTGTTAACTCATGAAAAAATATGGAGTAATTATTTTGATAATTATTGAGCTCTTTCAATCAAACTCTACCCGATCAAACAGGATTTTGTCAATCAAATCTACGCTATGAATTAAAACACAAACCAAATACAACAATCAATTATCATCATATTATGTGTATCACTGTACAAGAATATTACAACAAAAGACTAACCATGGGCATCCCTTCAGCGTTTCATCCATAACCCCAAAACTTTAAACCCCGCCTTTGTAAAAAATTAAAATAAAAACATTTCTATGTGCAATTTTTTCTTTTGCTTTCATTTTTTTCTCTAAAGCACTTTTCCTCGTCATGGATAAATCTATTTGAACACCAGAATTTGATAAACACCATATGTTTCAAAGATAATGATTGGCCATGATCCTCTCACCATTCCATCTTTCTATTCGTCGGTCTGCTGCGTCTGATTATTTTCTTGCCCGTCGGTTCCATTATCTGCAAAAACCTGACCGTGCTCTCGGACATCTCGGAATATAGAAAGGAAAGAGTTGAGACTTTCGGTGGAGGAGCCTCCCAAAATCCACAACAGTAAGTTGCTGAGTGAGTTCATGCCTCCTCCTCCTCCTCCTGGGTGGTTGGTTTCATTCTCTGGGGGTTGGCGGGTTTCGGCGGTCTGGCCTCCGACATGAAGATTGGGGTTTCTGGTCTCCGCTGGCGCGGCTTCGTTCCTTGTGGCGTTTAACCTGGTAATGTGTAGGGTTGATGCAAGAATGGTCGATGATGTGATGTGGAAGTTCGGGTGCTGTTGAAAATGTGACCGCCGGTTTTGGATGAATCTCTGCAATGCTGGGACCTGAGTTGCAAGACAAAAAGCCATAGCACATTACTACATGTTAGACTTTAAAATGAGAGCATTTTAATCATTAGAAATAGTTTGGGAGTGCAAACCTACCCTTCATTTCTCTTACATTAATAAGATGGAACATAGTCCCAAATCCATAATTAAGGAATAACTTCACTTCAGCTTAATTATGTACACTCCGTATTTCATCCGAGCAAATATAGGGTTTTACAATTTTAGTTTTATTTTAGGTCTCTATAAGATGGTCTTAACTCTTAACTATTTCTTGGTTATGCATCCCCCCTAACTTGGACCGTTCTCATTTTTAGTCCCTCCGTGTCATTCTTTGAAATGAAAACTGACACAGCTTTGTGGCAGAGCAGGTGACTAAGCCGGGTCTGAAAAGCAAACCAGGTCAAAATTTAGACTGGTCTACTTACAGAATCCCAGACTAGCTTTCCCACATCATTCTTAATTAGCTCAATCGATCGTATGATCCTCAACTTGATAACATAACAGCTGATCTTACCTCAAAACGGTTCCAAAAGTAAATGATTAGATGTTGGACAAATGCAGCAGTTGCGGACAGTGCCAGATAAGAAAAGCCTGGTGGAAAAGGTGGATTACAAGATGAGAAATTTGGTAAATGGTAAGCATTCAATTAACACAATTCACCCAAGTATGAAAATGTGTTTCCTCTCTCACCATAAGTATAGGAAAAGAAGTATATATGGAAAACCAGGAAATAGAGCAAAAAGAAGCGAGGAAAGTATTTCATCGATATTGGTGTGCGGACACTGCAAGAAATTAGCAAAACAATTGCATTAGTGAAAAAAACAAGCACATCAGATAATCTCAAAAAAAGCAGTAATGGAAATAATTACTTCATCCCATAATCATCTTTCAATGTGATAATGTCACAAAATTTAAGAAAAGTGAAACTGTATTGTTGAAGCTAATGCAAAAGAAAGAAATAATAAGAACCACACAATTCTTTCCTTAGAAGAAATTAAATAGTTGAAGTTTACGCAAAGAGAAGGAGTCATTTCAGGACATCCAAAAAGGATATTAGGAGGAGCATTTTGGGACAGAGGGAGTACATTTGATTCAAGATTTCTACACACCAGCTCAAAACAGAAAATGAAATATAAACACAGAATAACCCCCACGAGTAGAAATGCTCGAAGCAACATTGATTTGTTCCATATAAAAATATGATAATGAATGTTTATCTTCATTGAGCCAGATAATCTTTTATTGGATAATCTAGATCACCACTTCACAAAAAATTGCCATCACTTACCTCATAAATTTATTTGATTCTTTAACTTTACCTCCCATATTCGAATTATCAGCGTTATTACTGTTATTTATGCATATGGAAATATGTCATGCACACATATATCATGCTTGAGAGAGAGAGAGAGACCTGATCAGCGTAAAAAGTTCGCACAGCCAAACAAGAATCAAGACCATGAAAGCCAACAATTGATCATCATAAAACTCAAACAGGAAAAATAGGATACCGATCATTATCTGCAATCCAGAAAAGAACTTAATAGCTCCCTTTAAGAAATAAATTATCTAATTAAATAATATAAGAACATTATGGGGGTGCTTACCGGCACGAAAACAAGGGATTCAATTACATGAACAAATATTAATTGAAAGGTTGGAAGCCTATGCCGAGCATGATGTTGGAGCTGAACTGAAACCATGTTTGTAAAGAAGACAATGAATGAGAAGAAGGAAAAAAAAGGACCACATGGTTTCTCAAGGCAGACGAGATTACCTAAGATAATAAAAAATACTCTTTAGCAACCAATACAACATAACACATGGGGGGGGGACCTTGAATATAAACATAGTATCTCTTGTAATATTCCCTCGTAGATTACTTGTTAATATGTTCATATTTGTGTTCGGTTGAAATTGTAGAATCAAAATTGGCACATTCAGTTGGGGTTATGTTCTACGTCCAGACTCAAGATAACTCATTTAATTTATGGAAAATGGCTCAAATGCCCCTACCCTATCCAAAATATAGCAAATTCTCCCCTTGTTTACTTGTTGCCCCTAGTGTTCTTTTGTATTAATAGTGCCCCAAATACTAATGAAAGCAGAAAATGCCTATAAATGCCCCTAATGTAATAAAAAAAAACCATTTACCTACTACTCTGCCATTGCCATACCATTTTCACATAATTATTCATAGTAGCCCATGAATTCATGGGAACTCCACGATTGATGACTTTAAAGAACCCAAACTTCTCGCATGCATTCACACAGAGGTGCCCAGTTTTGATGGATCTATTAATGATTTAATGGGGCGCTGAGGTATAGCATGGCAGAGGCTTTAAGGGTCAAATAAGTCACGGGATGCCAGAAGCATGCATTAACATGTTTTCCGTTTTTGTTGTCATCATGTCATGTTGTTGAAATTATATTGACGTCTAATATTACCCCATAGTGGCCTCATTGCTTGCCAAGAGGTCCCAACTTGCCAAGAGGTCAGATGTGCATAACTACAAGGTAATCACATCGAACTTTGGCATTACCTCTAAACCAGCGAGGTAATGCCGTATTAGTATGCTCACATTGCCTAGGTAATATAAGATAGGTTGAACCAAATGCACCCTAAGAATACTCTCAGTGGAACGCACCTGTAAATTTCAGCATACGAGTTTGTGTCTCTCTTAAAGTAAATGAAACTGACATTGTCGTTGTAAAGAAAACAAAAAGTGACATCATGAGTACGCCACACTTTGTCACAAGGTAATCTGCATGAATAGAAAGCAAAATGTAGTTCAAATGGATGCTAATTGGACTTGGCACACTTATGACTGCCCAAAGTAGGACTAGGATAAGCCTTCTTAATATTTTTAAGTGAACATAAATTGGCAATGAGCATATAGCGTCTTATGGCTGTAAATTTTATAAACCAAATGCAAAATGATGAATTTATCCAGCAAAGAAAGGGTTGGGGAGGGGGATAACAAATTCTGTTATGTCTTGTTTGAAAATTCTAGAGCTCAAATGGAGTGCATGCTCTCAGGTAGACATGAAAACCACTTGCACACATTTTTCTTAAACAACATCAGCGACCCAGTAAAATCCCGCAAGTGGAGTCTAGGGAGGGTGGGTGTACGCATACCTTACCCTACCTAAAACGAAACTAAAAAGCTATCATATGAACATGTAATTCTCTGACACAAAAAAGAAATGCACGGTTCAAGAATAACTGACCCCCTAATGTAGCAGAACTTTGAGGCTGCTCGTGTGCATAAGTAAGATTGTAAAACTCCTTTGTTTGATGATTATAAAGATAGCCTGCAGGAAAGTTTAAACTCTGTTGTAATGATGAAAAACAAAAGCATAACATGAACAATACTTAAGTTTTATATATTTATTTTTTATAGGGAACCACTCAATACCTTGACCAGGAGAACTCAACAAACTGTTGATCAGAATAGTATCATATCCAACAAGCCTGTTGATAAGAAGTTGCTGCCACCTGAAAAAATTAAATCCATCACTTGGAAAGGTTGAAATGTGTCATCATTATACGGAGTATAACATTGCAAATTCTCTATTTTAAACCTTCAGACTCAAACTAATGTCAAAGAAAGAATTGTTAAGAGAACTAGATCAATTAGCCCATGGAAATTTTCGAACAACATTAAGCACCATATCAAGGAGAAATCTGTTATTCAGAAATCGAACATAAAAAATGAGGTACACATTAGAATGTGAACTCAGTCAAACTCGGACGTTATCAAAACTATGAATTTTAATGTTGAATATTTTTGACGCACATATCCAACATGGTTCCTTTCAAAAGCTATATAGTAATTTACAAAAGCATTCCCACAAGTTTTTTCCCCTTTCCTTTCATATTGTTCATGCTTTGTATGTTCATTCACCTCTCATCATATGTTCTGTAATTTTAGAAGACGTAGAGCAGGCATGAAGATAATAACCTGTTTCCAAAGCACGGATGTTGAGCTGAGATGCTTATATTGATTGTATTAATGTTATGTTGTAGCCTGGCTTCTTCAGTTAGCAAGAAATAACCCTGCAGAGAAGTTTAGATGAACCAAACTTTAACAAGGTCAAAACATAATGCAACATCAATCCAGTTAGTTGGTAAGTCCTGGGTAGAAAATGGATGGATAATCTGGGAGCGAGATAAACAGACTAGGATTGTCACCTTCTCCATAGTGAATAAGAAAGTTGGTTCAAAGGTGTTACTTCTCCTCTCTAGCCAATGCACTGTAATAGCCATATAAGAAATTGAGCATTTCACCTTTCATGTATATGCACTTTTCAAATCTGTTAATGTTACACAACCGTAGCAATGCAATTAAGCAAATAAGAGTCTTACCAGCATAGGAGTTAAGCCGGTGCAAGTGAAGCGTTTTAAGAAGCTGTGGAATATCAATTTTCAAATGTATACCGGCTATACCCTGTGTATTAAGAGTTCAAGTGTTCAACAAAAGGAGTAAGCATCACCAAACTAAGGTACAGAAAGCAAGAAAGTTTAACAAAATGAATCGAATAAATTAAATCGACCAAGAGCCAATTAGTAAGCAGCAAACTCCGAGAGCTGGGTTTCATGCCGCTTAGCATAACAACCTATCATTACCCATTCTTAATCCCAATGCCAATTAATAAAAACACACAATACTTCAAACTGCATATTAAAAGTGAAGCTGAAAAATAAACAATGTGCTATAATACATGCAAATTAACTACTAGCATTCATCGCTTAAGAGCTTTCACTTAAAAGATTTTTTTTAAATAAACACACATTCTTTAGTCACAATGATCAACTTACCCATAAACCTCCAAGAACACGCTTCGCAAATCTCCAAAGGACATACGAACGCCTATGCCACTTTCGTCCAAGCTTAAATACGGCCGATTTGAGTGATTGCTTTGAAGATGTAAGAAGCCGGCTAAGTGACCTATCTTTTTTAATCCTATGAGCAGCTTTATCACCTGCAGCCTTGATGTTTATTCCACTAGTAGAAGTTTGAGGTTGAGATTCCAGAAACTCGTTGTCTGCCTTCCAAAAATTTGGAGCAGATTTACCCCTCCAAGCTCCAGAAAAAAGCCAGTTCAACCATAACTTTGCTGTCAGAATAACTGAGCCATCCTCTACAACATGTATGACTCTAAGAATCTCAGTATTACTTCGGTCACTAGGGACATTAGCTTCTTCATCATAGTTGGTCTCATTGTGGAGCCACAAGCCAGCGCTAGTAATCTGTAGCACAAAGCAGCATCTGGTAACTTTAAAACGATCAATCCATTTAACCAACATATTACTTCACCCAACACAATGCATAAACTCAAAATAGTAAAAATAACCTTGATTTGAATAATTTGCACGTCGGAGATGTTCACTTTCCACAGCTCACTCGAACAACCAGGCTAAAACGAATCAGCAAAAACACCAATTTAGAAACAACCAAAACTGTCAGACCACTTTTCCCATCCAAGAGTAGCACTATGAATTCAATATAATAACAACAAGAACATCAACATCAGCCTAGATCACTTACAAAATCCATAGATTCTTCACATACAAACAAAAATCCAATCTAAGAGAGTCACTGCAAAGCAAAAGGCTAGAGAAAAACACACCTGCTGGACATAGTTGGCGTGCATAACAACGAGAATACAGAAAAGAGTGATGGCGGTGAAGAGGTAGAGATACTCGAGCGTAGCTCGAATCCTGGGACTCACCATCTGGGAGAACCGCTCTTGAACCCGTATAAACGTCTGCTCCGGATCCATCGATTATCTCTACTCCTGTATACAAATGTATACATACAAGGAGGTGTTCGGACAAGTATCTGCGAGCATCAGCCCGATAATCATTAAGGCTCGAAGTCAACCGTACAAATTTACGGAACAGGAAATGAAACGCGGCGTTATCAATCTCTGCTTTGTCTCTTTGGCTCGCCGGTGAAACTTAGGGTTTCGGTGTTCCGACGGTGAGAGTTTCTTCTCCGGAGAAGATACTGACGGTTGGGGAGCATCGTCGTGAAAGTTCAAAGATGGAGGCTACGAGTTCTCACGACTTCACGACGCTAATGGGGGGCCCGCTGTGCCCACCATTTCTGGATAATTTTTATTACTCCGTATCATTCATGACCCGGCGATTTACTATGTAAGGAGTAATTGTCATTGGACCCCTTCAAAAAATAAATTTAAATTCTCATATGATTTTCATTGAAATTATTTTTATATTTTAAATACATTTAATATTGATGTACTCCCTATAATTTAAAAATAAAAATTATATCATTGGATGTTGTACAGTTGGCAAGACAAGAAATGCTTAGAAGGTAATATTCGAGATTGATTCTTGCCGTAAGGAGAAATGCTAAGCATAAATAAAGTACCATGTATATGTTTCACTCTTTGTTATAAATCTGCGATCAAAGTTCAATTTATCTCATCCGTTCTGCTTGGTCTGAGAAGGCCAAAGATTCATTCTTTTTTAAAAAATAAAAATTATGTCGGTGGGCATTGCGTAGTTGACAAGATAAGAAGTGTCAAGTGGGTAAGATCTGAATTCGACTTCTGGCAACTACACTCAGATGCAACTATGTTAAACATAAGATATCTGCAAGTATCTAGTATGCATATACTCGAAATTCCAGTCTTAATTTTTGTATAGATACCTTCAAAAGAATGGACCTTTTATCTTCGAGCCCCCCACCCCCCACCACCCTTGTCGAGTTCTTTCAATAGATGAACACATCTAGTCTTTTGATGTTATTTTTGGTGATGAATTACATTACAACATTTGGAGCATAAAATTGAACAAGGTACATGCTCATATGAACAATCATTTATTGTTAGCAAAATATCATCGAGTACATAAGAACCGTTCTATGCTAGCTGAATATTTAAAGAAATATTTGCACTAAATAGCACTAAAACTTAAGTCATTTCCCTAAATAGCACTTAAATTGTTTTATTTCCTAAATAGCACTTAATAATGTCTATAATGTCCAGTGATGGCAAATATTTGCTTGAATAATGACTAATGCATAATGACTAAAAGTGATACATTGGGAAGAAAAACACATGTGGTACTATTTAGAAAAAGTCATTATGTTTTAGTGTCATTTAAGTAAATTTCTCATATTTAAAAAATAGGTTTATTGTATCCTACAAAAATAATAATTAAGTGTATTGTGAGCCAAACAAAGGATGCTCAACCTTAGTACCCATTATTGTCACAAGAGTTCTGCAACTATTCACGTATACACACAAGAAACAACATAACAATTATGCACAAGCGCTGATCTGTGTATCAGGAAGTATCATGGAGTGAACTTGAAGGAAGAATAGGAGAGTGAGCCGTTGCTCCAGCTGCGGTGAATGAGTTCTGCACGGGGATTTCCCCCTGCGGCACCAATTGCAACATGCAATGGGTAGAAGTGCTCAGGCCATGGGTGAGCAACTTTGGCATGGGGCGCTTTCTCCTCAAAGTGGTTAACATCTTCGTACCTGCACGACAAGAGTCAGAATACAACAGCAAACCCAGTAAAATTCCACAAAAATATGATCTAGGGAGGGTGTGTAGGCAGGCGTTTACCCTAATATGATGTAGAGAGATTGTTTCCAAAAAAACCCGAGCCAAATACAACACTATTAAAACCAAACAAGGGGATAGAGGAGTTCTGTTTTTGCAACATAAGATTGCTCTTAGGATGGTTTACAGTTCCATTGTCATTTATGGGATGAGTTCCCTTGTAACAAAGAATCATAACTTTACAATTCAAGTCGCGAAAGAGTCTCCCTGAACCTCATTTGGAATGATTTGGTACGCGGACTATATTTTTTTGAGGATGCAATAAAATCTGAATGTTTGGAATGATTGAATTCACCTAATTCTTTAGAACTGGGCAGCCTTAGACAATGTTTGGTTCAAGGAATTTGAGAGGGAAAGGAAAAGAAAATGAGAAGGAAAACATTCTTTTGTTTGGTTAGAGAGGAAAAGAAAAGAAAAGTGGAAGGAAAACCAAATTCGTTCCATTTTGGTGAAGAAACTGAGGGAAACTATTTTCTTCTCTTTTCCTTCCAAATTCCTTGAACCAAACATAGTGTTAAGGTACATAGTAACATGGAGGATTTGTGATTCTTGGAATTTCAGAAATGGACGATCCCGGAATCCTACTTCCTAACTTTGTTTATCTTGAAACGTTGGTCATGACCATATTAGGTTCATGAGGGAAACCTCTTGGTCTCACCACCAGAATGAAGTTTCCATAGTAAGCCCGATTGATTACAGTTATTTACAGGAAACTCACCTTCCATTAGTAAGGGCATCTTTAAGCCAGTCATCAAACTCCTTTGCCCAAGAAAGAGGAGGACCATGTCCATCACGGAGAGCCCGTAAGTTATGAGTGGCAGATCCAGAACCAAATATGAGAACCCCTTCCTCCCTAAGAGGAGACAATGCTTTACCCATCTTGTAATGGTGAGTTCCACTCATGTTTGGCTGGACAGAAAGCTGGCAAACTGGGATATCAGCCTCTGGATACATGAGCATCAGAGGAACCCATGCCCCATGATCAAGCCCGCGTTTCGTGTCTTTGCCCACTTTCTTGAATCCAGCGGACAGAAGTAACTCAGCTGCTCTGTCTGCTAGTTCTGGAGCTCCTGGCGCTGGGTACTTGAGCTGCAAGTTGAATAAACATAGGGGTCCAAGGTCAATGAGAAAAACATAAGAAACCAACCAAGCTCCGATGAGGAGGCACCATTTAATGATCTAAGTTGTGATTTTTTTCCCAACCAACGTTCTTAAGAATTTTCAGCCCTAAAATAGGCAATGAGTTTCATCAACAAGAGGAATTGATTAACAGTTACCATCTTAATAAGAACTTCTCCCCTAAAAATCATGATCTCGTGATAAATTTCCGTATTAAACGAGCTGCAGGATCGATCATTAAATCCAAACGACCTAAAGGCTAAATCTACAAACGGTGGCTGACCTGATACATCTGGTTGGGGAAGCCGTAGAAGTCATGGATGGTGTCGTTGCGGCCGCGGATGACGTTGAGGGTGGGGAAATCGGTCTCCCAGTGGGCGGAGATGACCAGAATTGCGGAGGGCGGCTTCTCCGGCGTGAACTTCTCCCGGAAAGCTTTGAGGAAATGGCGGGCCGGTAACGAATCGTCGATGGAGAGCGTTGGGGAGCCATGTGAAATGAAAAACGCGTCGTTCTGAGGCAACACGCGGGTAGCCATTCGATTCAATTTCGGCCCTCTGCGCCTCCGTCTTCTGGGGCTGCGCGCGTTCTTCGAGAACCCTTCAAAGTCGCGATTTCTTCATGTTGACAAAACTGTTGGCGGACTGTAATTTTCAAACATCCCTTCGAAGCCCCTAACTCCTAATCCCAAAAAGTCGTTAGACTATTCAAACATATTTCTTTGTTCCTTAACAAAAAAATAACAAACTCAGAATCTAATCATTTATAGTTTAAATTTTAATTTTAAATTACTTGTGAACATAACATTTTTCATTATAGTTGAAATTTGTGATCAATTTATTTGTGAACATAATATTTTTCATTTTTTTAATACCCAATGCTAAACAACCAGATTTCATGGTCCGATACATTTATCACATCATTGCCACTACCCTTCATCTATCAAATGAATGGGAATGAGCAAACATTATTATCCTAGTAGCTTGAATGTTTGATCGCAAATTTTATTTTTACATAAATGTGTTTGGCACCTTTGAGTATATAGCTTGTTGTGTAGTTGGGTCATGTTGGATCTTCCTTTTGCTAAATACTACGTAGTAGAAATATAAATTCTAAGCACACTTTTTACTCAGTCCCAATCAGCTTGGTTCGTCGTAGATCGACACAAGCCGTGGACATAGCTTCTCAGGCCCTTTTGTTCTTTTGGCGTTGCTATTGTCTTGCTTTTGTGTCAACACTCTTATTCGGAAGATGATTGTATTGTGTCTTTACCAGAAAAAGGACATTAATGCATCTTAACAAAATCAAATCACAACATGTATCTTTCTCTCTGTCCGGAACTTCCCGTAATTAATACACTTTCTTTATCAGATCGTCCAAAAAAAGTTACACATTTCTTTACTTCCCTAATAAAAGTAAAGATATGTGATCTACATTTTATCTCTTTCTCCTAAACAAATTCCAATCACTCACTTTTTACTGTTCAACAATTCACTTAAATTGTGTGAAGTCAACTTATCCAGAGGAGAGAATAATAGGCTCCTTCCATCTGTTGGCCACCTTTTTTCTAAAAGATGCAAGATCATAAGAAAAAAGTCAAATACCCAATGATGGTTAAGAACTGAAACGAGCAATAATAACCAGAGAAGATGTATATTATCACCATGTATGAATATATGCTAAAAGACAGGGAGGGGGAGAAATAGATAAAATTGGGAAGGGGGAGAAATGAGGAAGAGACAATAATGCAAATTAATTAATCCGGCGACCCATCGGAAAAAGAAACGTCTATTCAAGTAGCAGCAGGCGTGGGGGTGGCCTCTACTGAATCGTCTAAGGCTTTAAGCAGCCTAAATAATCCCGCGGCCTCCCTAATTCTTGAGAACTCAATGCAAAATGCTTGGACTTCAATGAATAGATCTTGAACTGCAAAATGCATCAACAAGCAATCGACTTTAGAAAGAGTGGCAAAGTAAATTAGGAGCTTCGGAATTTACTCAAGGGAAAACTGTGATTCAATTCTGCAGAAATCAAAGTGCCCCCCTTACCCTTGAAATGTTAAATATGAAACAAAAAAATCAAATATGCATCAAATATGAAATTCCAAATTCAAATAACAAGGCGCCTAGGAGCCTAAAGCACCTATAAAAGGCTGCTTTTGTCAAATCAGCCATGTCGTCTAGCGGGAATCCTGTGCCTAGGACAAATTTTACAACACTGCTGTGTCATCAACCAGAGGTTTTATTTCTTCTCCTAAATAAACAATACCTCCATTTATGATTTCATTTTGTTTACAGTTTTTGGGAATGCTAAACGGTATAGGTGATCTTAAGACAGTCATGATCTGTGACTTCCTAAAGAGTGTCACCAAACTAACACCATCCAATGAACATTTTGTCATATTGGGATAGGCAAATAAAACCCCCAACACTCTACAAACCAAGAATCAACAGAAGTAATCACTAACACTATGTTTGGTTCAAGGAATTTGGAAGGAAAAGAAAAGAAAATGATTTTCTCTCATTTTCCTCACCAAAATGGAAGGAATTTGGTTTTCCCTCCACTTGGTACATTTTGCCTTCTCATTTTCTTTTCCTTCCACTTTTCCTTTCTTTTCCCCTCTAACCAAACAAGAAAAACGGTTTTCTACTTTATTTTCTTTCTTTTTTCCCTTTCAAATTTCTTGAACCAAGCATAGTGTAAAAGTGTGGATTCCAAGTAGAGGTATAGAAGGTGTACTTACCATCAATTATTTTATTCCGGATCAAGCTCTGCAGGAAGACACAGACGAGCCTCACCAGTCTATTCTGCATATACTTGTCCTGAAATTTTTGAAGGAAAAAAATTGACAACTGAAAAAGAACATTTAAGGCAAAACGCTATTATAACATGAACTAAGGTAAGAGGAAAGGCTGATTACACAACCTTGATATTCTCACAGGAAGATATACAGTTGGTGATATACATATGTATGAATTCAGTTGGCAAATCAACTGCTTGGGTGAGTCTGTTGACTACTTCCATTGAATGAAGACTCATTTCCATATTAACAAGAACTCTGAAGTATCTGCAACCACATGATCAGAACTTTATCAAACAGAGAAACAGATCCGCAAATCAATGCTTTGTAAGCATATTATGAAGCATGGAAGAGCACTAATGAGTAGACAAGGAAAAGCATGGCATACTCAGCAATTTCTGGTGAATTCACAAATTTTGTAAGAACTTCTACTGCAATAACAGGATTGTTCTCAACGAGCTCCTGAAATAAGAATAAATGAATTTTAAACAGACAAACACCTAACACTGTTACTTATTTGAAATTTTAGTCTCTAGAGTACTTACTGGAAGCTTTCTTGGTGTCAGACCACAATGGTATACTAGCTTTGGGTCATTGGCCAACTCTGATACAACTTGCTGCAAAAGAGGGTTAAGTAATACGATTAGTCAAGCTGAAGCAACGCAGGCTGGCAGATAGTACAGTACACTAAAACGTGTTTTAGTTCATTACAAGTAAGAATGATTTTTTTCTTTTGGCATAAAAAATCAATGAGTCTATTGCCGCAATATTAAAACCACACGGTTATTAAGAAAAAGGTATTTGGGCTTTTATTGTGTAGCAGATGAAAATAATGGAACAATGTTCTGACAGCACAAATACATGTGAGAATTTTCTGACAGCACAAACGCAGAAAGGCCAATTAAAAATTCAGGGCTATCAATTTTTTTGATAAGCTATAAGAAAATCGTCCTCCCTCTGGTTAATACAGCGCAGTCCTATCAAATTTCATTCAACATACACAAAATTGCACAACTCTTATTGACATCAAGATCTCAGATGCCAACAGGTAATAGTCAGCTTGGAACCATGAATGATTTCATGAAGATTGCAACAGGTCTTAACAAGAATGATGCAGGTAATATGTTCAACAGTAATGGGCATCACACCTCTTGATGTGCAGGAGCAAGTGGTCCCTTCAGAGCTTTTGCAATCGAGTCCCTCATTGCTGCCCCTCTACTAGTATCCGCACACATTCCATGATCCCACTTAAGCTCATAATTGGAATCAGGGTTGAGCCACACTAGCTACAAAACATAACTAAATAAGACCCAGTTTACTTCTAAAAAAAAATTAAAAAGTATAGGTCGAATGACAATACAAGTATATGGCTTTTATCTACTTGTACAACAGCAACAAATTCAATGTAGTCTCACAAAAGGGTCTAGGGAGAAGAGAATATACGCAAACCTTACTTCTACCCTCGAGATGTGGAGATGCTTTTTATGGAAGACCCTTGGCTCAAAATAAAATAATCAAGGGAATATGATAATGGGAAAACACAAGCAACGTAACAAGACACTACAATAAGAGCAACACATAATAATGCACATAAGAAAAGCAGCCTGCACAGACCATATAAGAAGCTAATAAAAGGGGAAAAGAAGATGGTATGGACAGCTCTCCGACCTCACAACCAAGTGGGACAAAGAGGCTACCTACTATCCTTCTACCCTTATCAGTTATCCTCAACCACCAAAGTGATTTTGGGGAAACGTAATAATAACAATGAGTTTACCTCACCATCGAGCACCGGAAGCCTTGGAGGGCGAGGCCTTATCCACTGAGGTCCTAACCCTTCCAGGGACACATTCGACAACACTCCAGTAATAGTTTCATTGACATCCCCAGATCCGATCTTTGGTTTAGATCCCAGTTGCAAATCAAACCTGAAATTCCACAATGCAGTGTCAGAGACGTGATTTAATATAGTTCATCCTAATTTCAGCAATCAATAGGCAAGTTAAAGAATGTTGAAAATACACTCTGGATTGGGGGGGTTGTAAGAGAGACTGAACATTAAAGTATTTAACTAGATGAATAATTAAAAAAATAAAACTCGTACTCTGTTGAACTGTTATCACAACCATGTGGCACATCAGGATCTGGAATTGTATTATTCACCAACTTGCTCTTGAAAAAGAAGTTAAATTTTTCTTGTTGAGCTTTACCTCCATACTGTTGTTGCAACTGCTCGCGTTGTGGGAAAGACTAACAGTTTAACAATATAGTGTGACCATAAGACAGGCAAGTTGGGTGAGCCATAGCACTTGCAGTACAAAAAGGAATACAACATTATGTAGTTCAAAATATTGTTACTTACATGTCGTGAAGGGTCATAATTTAAAATGTAATCTGTAGCAGACTTGTTCAAAATCTGCAGGGATGAGAAATTGCTTGATTGAAATGGGTGAAGGAAAAAAAAGGTGCATGCAAACCACATAAATGTGACAAGGAAAAAGCAATAACTATAGCTATAAATAGAAGTAATAAATAAGTTGCCTACTCCACCAAACTACGCATTGTTTTTTTCTCTTGTCCTGCTTATGGACTGTGAGAAGAGTTCCAAGCTATTTTTTTCTTAGTAAGACTATGTGGGAAATACAGTGACGAGAAATTAGTTATAAGCATTGTTTTTTTTCTCTTGTCCTGCTTATGGACTGTGTGAGAAGAGCTCCAAGCTATTTTTTTCTTAATAAGACTATGTGGGAAATAGAGTTGTGAGAAATTAGTTATATACAGTGACAAAGTAAAACCTCTTTACTGTTGGCAGAACTTAGCAACTGAAGGATAAACGTCCTTTCACATTTTTCAGCTGCTTCATCAGACGCAACCTGTAGATAAAAAGAAACACGATGATATATTGATATGTATTATATTTCATTCTTTCCCTTATAACACTAGTAAATAAGATGCACTTTCAAAGTTTCAAGTAGTAATAAAAAGGCACCACATATAAAGTAGCTTCAGTTAACAAACAAAAAAAAAACAAATCAAATGTCTAAGCAGTCTCTGAAAACTTGCAGACACATTGGCATTTGCACGCCGTTTTCTTTCTTTCCCCTGATAAATATGAAGCACATGGCCACACTTCTACGTAAAAAGACCACCATAGAATGAATATGTGAATTAAACGGAAGGCATTCCACATCTAAAACCTCTTCAGTTTAGACAAAAATAAATTAAAATGCTTAAGGCAATAGCCCCATATTCAATTCACATACCACATTAGTGGCATGGGGCCACCATAATTGTGGCAACTTAGAGACCCCAGTAACAACAGCAAGTGGTCGGCTGCGTAACTACACACTCTAGTGGGTGAGCGCTTTTAACTTAAAGTAGAATCTACAAACGAGTGAACAAAATGAAGAAAATAAGAAAAAATTGTTCCCTTCATGTCAAACGGGTAAGATTCCCTACCAACATCCTGGATATTGTTTTCCATTAAATCTAACCAAGCATGCATATGTTATTAGGATTTGAATTATGAGATTTGTTCATGCCTCATCAACATTTATTATTTCTGCCAATTGTCGGCTACGCGTGCCCTCTATAAATTTCGAGCAGGGGTACAGTATGTGTATACATGCCTTTCCAGACCCCATTCTGTGAGATATATTTTAGGGTTTTATTGCTGATGATGGCTAGGCTTGCCACAATATGGTATTTAAATTTTGTTTCTTTTCTTATTGTCCTAATGAAAAACAATTTTTTAAATTAATTTCTATTGGTTTTTTCTCTGAACAATGAAACGTAGTTTAAATGGCATAGAACTGACAAAATAGTCAGTCGATAAGGGGTAATGATTGTTGATTGATACTACATACTTGTATTAATAAGATTGATATGAAGCAAAATTTGGTTTAACATAATTTGACCCAAATGGACACAATCAATCCCAGATAGAAATCCCCCCACATGTTATATTACTGAAGAATGATCTCACTAGTAAGACCATATGTAGATTGGGTAGCTAGAGTGTATTAAAAAGACTTTCCATGTGAATGTTGAACATTCAACCATGGTTAAAAACTCCGTATCAAATATGTTTGGTAGTCATAACAATAATATTCTAATGGAAAACTTACATTTACAAGCATAGAGATGAAAGGATTTGATGATGGCTCTTGGGAAGAATATACTCTGCAAAGAATTGCAAAAGCAGCCAACCTCTGAGCTGTTTTAAGAAACTTTCCCTGCAAAACAAAACTTGAGAATTTAGTACGCAAAAAAATGGAAAAACTATGAATGGTTCTCAATTTTTCCTCTATCACTAATTTAAGAAGCTGATCTAAAGGTTCCTTCAGAGAAATTCAGAGTACATAGAATTTCACAGAGATAACACCACTTCAACTTCAATCTTGTTCCAAATTTTGAAAAAAAAATAAAAAGAGAAACAAAAAACGAATCAAGACGATTCGCACACATGGCGAAAAACCCTAGCTCTAAACCGGAAAGCCATCGAAAACGCGCATATAACAGATGATTAAACATGTGCGGATGGACTGTCAGATATTATTAGGGTGTGGACCTCGAGAATCAAGGCGAGAGAGACGCAGGCATTGAAGTGGCGAGAAGAATGGAACTTTGATTTGAAATCGTCGACTATGGATTCCAACGGCCGGTGTGGATCGTCTCCGGCCTTGAGCAGGGTCAACAGTGTGCCGGATTCTTCATTCCCGAGCATGTTTGCTCTCAGTGTACTTCGCGTCTGACGGATATGGGTAAAGGACTCGATGCTTTGTCTATAATGCCGATTTCTGAATTAAGGAACTTCAAATTTGTCCTTCCTAACCGCTCAGCTAGGGATGTTTGTTTCAGATTTCTGAATGGTTCAGCCCTAAATGGTTCAGACTGTTTGTTTCAGTCTCTTAATGGTTCAGATGTCTGAATGGTTAAGAGATTTGCCTCTGAATGGTTAAGTATTATACAAAGTCTGAATGGTTAATACCTCTTATCTGAATTGATCAGACATTTGCCTCTGAATAGTTAAGCAATATACTAGCTCTTAATGGTTCAGACCTCTTACTGGTTCAGCACTTAATGGTTCAGACCTCTTACTGGTTCAGCACTTACCCATTCAGAAGTTGCCAAACAGCTCCTTAGTAACTTTTTTGGAACTATGCTTTACCCATGGGAAGAATGAATATATTTTTTCATTTAATTTTTTATCTTTTTAGCTAACAAAGTAACAATTAAATAATTGAGCAAAATATAATATCGAACTTTAGAATTTTAATTAATAATATACTATAAATGTTTGCTAATCGAAATTCATCTATATATAAATCGAACAAAACATGTAATTGTATAATTTGAATATAAAGTTTTTAGAAAATTTTGGGATAAACCACATTTTTAGTGACATTGCAATGATTACTGTTATCATCTAAAACCAACACTTTCAATCACGTTTTTGCTTTCACTCGTGAGATAAAATTGACCGTGAGTGAATATTTATTTGGTCAAAAATAATCCAACAATGACAATGTTTGACTTTGACTCTTATTGATGGTCATATCAAAACATCAAAATATTGGGAATTGTCTTCTTTAAAACTTAAATGGTCATCCAAGATCAAACGGTACCATATTCATTTTTGGTATGTAAACTTTCTCCCCGACATTATTTCCTGGTACAACAATTGTGCTGATAATATTTTTTCACAATTCTTCAACGATTAATCTTGTACCATTACACATGACTTATTCCAATCAGATTAAAATCATTTAACCCAAGTGAAGAAAACAAGCCCTTAACGATGAATAATAAGTCAATGTCTTTGCCTCCGTTCAAGTTCAAATCTGGATAAACTTTTCCATTAAGGCCCAGTTTGATACACGGAATTCAAATCATGGAATTGGAATTGAGGACTTCAATTCCAATTCTGGTGTTTGGTAGTACAAAAATTATGTAGATTTGAAATTGATAGTGCAAAAAATGAATTAGAATTGGAAGAATTCAATTCTATGGAATTGAATCCAATGGAATTTCAATTCCAATTCAATTCTAATTCCATCAACTCCGTATACCAAATGGACCATAATGGTTTCAAATAGTGAAATTTGTACTTAATAGGACTAAAACATAAGTCACTCCCCAATGTAGGACTTAAACTTTTTTATTCTCTAAATAAAACTTAATAATGACTAGTGAGAAGAATAATGTCCAAGTGATGCTGGACATTTAGTTGAATAATGACTAACAGATAATGACCAAAGGTCCTACATTGGGGAATAAAAATATATGATCCTATATTGAGAAAGTCATTATGTTTTAGTCCTATTTAGGCAAATTACCCTTTTGAAAATGAGGGACCAAAAATAGTTTCAAATTTGAAGAATGTGTATTTCAGGAAAAAATGATCAATGCTATCAAAGCTATTGCAAAAAATACATTTGAAAGGGTCATTAAAATCAAAATTAGAAAGTATAACTCCAAAATAGACTTGTGCAAATAAGGATCCGGGCTGGATCTGGGCCGGACTTGATATAAATTATTAGCCTATTTGCATGGGCGGGCTTGGTCCGGCCCGGATTTGATGGGCTAAACTCTTTACCCATACCCGCCCACCTTAGCGGGCCGAACTGCCCACCAGGCCGCCCGGCCCGGATAAAACATCAAGAAAATCTTTTTTTACAAAAAAAATCAAAAAGAAAATATTGAACTTGTTTTCAAATGTTTAAAATAAAATTACCACTCGCCACATTTATAGAAAACATAATAGAAATATTGTTACATAATTAATAAACCCATCATACAGATTCATTAAAAGACTATTGCTTTTTGTTTAAGAGGGGTGAGTGATATGAACTATTATACATGAATTAAAGAAAATTTTAAAATTTATATTGTCTAGGTAATTAATAATAAAGTAAATGTATTTAATGAATATGGGCGGGCCTGTTGACCCGAATGGGCTAAAAATAACTTCCAGATCCGCACAAATACAATGTAGGCTTGGGCCAGCCCGCCCATGTGGGTGTTAAAGATTGTCTATACCCGCCCATTTAAAGGGCGGGCTGGGCGGGCGGGACGGGCCGACCCTTGTTTGCACAAGTCTACTCCAAAAGGGAGGAGATTATTCAATGACCACTAAACTAAAATAGATATATGTCTTGGGGGTTTAGCCGACCAAATTAGCCTAGACGCATCGTTTGGCGTGTCACGTGTGCCTGGCCACATGATGTTGTGTATGTATATTTATTGATTATTGGATAAAATAAAATAAAATATCACAGCTTAAATTACTTTGTAGAATTTTATATAGTTTTGAACATGTATTTTTTACTATGTATATACTAAATTGTAAAAAAAATCAACTTAAAAGGGAGAAGATCTTACATATTATTCGAAAGAGGACGATAATTGATACGGTATCGTATCGGGATAGGGAAGAATTTCGAGCACCTTCGAGCTCCAAGAACAAAAGAGGTGAGAAAGAGAGAGATTAAAATTTAGTAGAAAGTATTTTCTTTATTCATTCATTGATAATACTATGGTGATGGATACATTTATAGGCTCCAACTCTAGAGAATCTCAATAATAAATGGTAACTAAATAAATTAAGAATCCTAATTATAAAAGGTAACTAAATAAACTAGGAAACTAAATAATCACCTAACAAATATATTATTCCCTAACAATAAATAACTAACTATAAATAATTCCTTACCATAATAATAATAATAATAATAATAATAATAATAGTAATAATAATAATAATAAGTCTCGTAACACTCCTCACGCCTCGAAAACCAACTTGTCCTCAAGTTGGAAATCAAATAATGAACGGGAAAAAATTGCACCGTTCATCGTCCATCCTCCGGGGTCAAACACCTTGATCCTTGGAGCACCAAAAGAACGAGTTACGCCTAAAACATTCCCAGTGTCAAGTAAACAGTTCCGGGCAACCAAGAGTAGGAATATTATGCAATCACGTGCAACATCCTCGGAATTATAAAGGACAACAACGTCACTTCCTGACCTCCCAAAAGTTTCCGTGCATCCATAAAAAATGACACCATCTCTTGAATATTTTTCTTGGAGTGTGTGGTTTCGTTGATCGTCACCAGAAACAGCAACAACAATATCAGCAACAGTAATAGGAACAACATCTATGTGATCAATAATAAGATCATCATCAGGAACACCAACAGGATCAATAAAAATTTCCTTTTCAAATTCCTGGTCTTGTAAAGTTGTGTTCTGCACAGGTACTGTAGGGGCCGGATCTCGTGGAGTGCCGATGAGTTTCTTTATAAAGCGCATCATGGTTGTTTTGAAAATGTATAACTCTATAGGAATCAGGCTCGGCATAATTGGGAGACCACGAACTAAATTCTGTATTGAGCAAAAGGCCTCTACGGAGAACGCATATACCTCGGAATCAAATTTTGGTTGACTTTCAATTGGACGGAATGCCTGAAGTTTCTTTATAATTTCATCAACGGAATCTTCAACTGCACACACACCTTCATAAAATTCAATTTGTCCCCGTAGAACTTTCTCGAGTAAACCAAGAACTTTGTCCAACAGAGAATCCATTGCGTGTGCCGTAGATTTTTTTTTGTATTTTTTGGGCGAGTTCAAGAATGAAAGCACCAATTGATACGGTATCGTATCGGGATATGGAAGAATTTCGAGCACCTTCGAGCTCCAAGAACAAAAGAGGTGAGAAAGAGAGAGATTAAGATTTAGTAGAAAGTATTTTCTTTATTCATTCATTGATAATACTATGGTGATGGATACATTTATAGGCTCCAACTCTAGAGAATCTCAATAATAAATGGTAACTAAATAAATTAAGAATCCTAATTATAAAAGGTAACTAAATAAACTAGGAAACTAAATAATCACCTAACAAATATATTATTCCCTAACAATAAATAGCTAACTATTAATAATTCCTTACCATAATAATAATAATAATAATAATAATAATAATAATAGTAATAATAATAATAATAAGTCCCGTAACAATAATTTATGGACAAATGAAGTATTATTTCTCAATTCGTCCACTGTATTGTTTGTCATTTTGATTTTTATGGCCAACATTATTTATTTTTTACCATAAATATAGAGAACGTTATGTTGAACCATGACAAAAGTTTAATATTTATATATCCATTTTAAACACAATTTAGAAAAATTCGTATATTTATAACATACTTTTAAATACGGTAAATAAAAATATTAATAGTTTAAGTAATACATTAAATATTACATGACAATGATCAAAATAGACAAGGAGAGTATTAGAATATAAGAAATCTCCCTAGATTTGTAATTAGGGGGAAGCTGAGTCGCCCTTGGTTTGGAAGATCTAGTTAGGAAGCTTTAAATTGTATCGTAATTTCTCAATAATTTTGGTAGGGAGAAATAATTTTTTGAAAAAAAAATTAATTTTATTTTTTCCCGTTTGGTAGCATAGGCGGTAAAAAAATATTCTCTCATAAAGAGAAATTAAATTACGTTTATCTTCAAAGAAATTTTTTTATTCACTCACTGTCATCATATCCGTTCGCCATCCCCGCCATGCCATCCCGGCCCCACCTTCGCCACCCCATGCTCAAACCCTCCACCCCACCCCTCTTACCTTGTTACCTATGTCAACCTCCACCACACCACCCCTACCCTACTATCCCTCGCCCACGTCCACCCTAACTCCACCCAGCCCATGTCTCTTATCCCTCACCTCACGGTCTCTCGCCACTCATTAAGCTCTGTCTTCTGTCCCTACCCCTTCTCCTTCTATTACACCTGAACGTTCCCACGATGAGTGCTCTGTTCCATATTACTAAATAGTTTAAAATCACTATAGCATATTTCTAAATATTAATTTTGAAATTTTAATATTATTTTTTTTTGAAAAAATTATATCCTTCCTACCAAATAATGAAATATATGCAAGAAAATCATTTTTCTTAGAAATTATTCTACTTTAAAAAATATTCTTTTTAAAAATATGTTCCCTCAAACCAAACCCACTCTAAAAAAATAAGAAAAGAGTAATTTGAACTCATACTCTATAAATGAAAAAGGAGTCATCTTCAAACCAATAAAACAAATGTTAGAGGCATACTTAAAACTAAAAAATTATCATATGTCAAAGATTTGTTAACAGTAATCCTTTGCGGCCTTCCCTGGCGACGACTTTTGTCTCCTTCCCTCAATCTCCCGCTCTGCCCTCCTCTTGACGCCGACTCCATCTGGTTCGCGACTTCCACTTTAACCCAGTTTCCTTTTTTTTAACTCCGTCCTACCGATTTACCATATTTATTTGTACTTTTTTTTTATTTTAAATTTTGCTAAGTCAGGAATTAGTAATAATCCACTTACCATTTTTTTTAATTGTCCACTTAGCCTGTTTATTTAGTAAATACTCCGTACTTCGTAGTAAACGTCTAGACATTCCTCTGGTGAATTGTTAGGTAATCTGCTTGCAGAAGAAGATGAAAATTCTATATCAGAAAGCTCATTTATAAGACACTTTATTGGATTTTGATATCAAAATTGTGTTATTGACACAATTATATGCATTTACACTTGGTGGGTGCTGTTTAAGTGATGGCTTTAATGTTGGTATTTTATATTTTTATCCCACCTTTTTCACTTTTTTTTTGGGTCATGAAATTTGTTAAATGGCAAGAATCTACAACTTTTATCTGTGAATTTGTTTAAATGCTTTTAATCATGTATGAAATTAATTTGGCGTGTTATAATTGCTTGTTAAAAATGAAATATAACAATGGTGAAATATTCTGTAGAGCAATCCTTATTGTTTTTCCTTTGATCAAATTCTTGAACCAAACGAAGTTGTACAAAGTTTTAAAATCCGTCCCACCCCGCTTATCAAATGTTGAACCAAGCAAGGTTGAATTTATGCGCATATTTGATGAGGGTCATCTTATTCCGTGAGCTTAGGATTTTCAGTTTACAATGAATGACTTATTTGGACATATATTATGTTGATGCTTGTAGAAACTTCGCTGCTTGCATGTTTGGCAGTAGCTATTGGCTAATATGATTTTGACGAGTCTAGGCCATTTTTGGGAGGAAAGATTGTAACACATGAGTAGTATGAATAGGCGTTGAACTTCATTAATAATAATAATTCAACGTTTAATCACAATCTTGACAATGTCATGTATTTATCGTTTCTGGACAAGGCTCTTTCCCGTAGGCTTAGTCAAGGACATAGCACATATGTGCCATATCCCAACAACACTCAAATCACTCTCATATTTTTGTTTTTCCTCATTTCATCTTTTTGTAAATGCTATTGAGTCTATGATTGGGTAGGCTTAGTTTGGAAGAAAAGAAGCGGGAATTTTGAAACACAAGGCAGCCCTTTAAGCATATTGAGCTGCATAGTTTATATCACTATCCAGTATGGTGACAGGGTTCAAAAACCTAGCAGATAACAGCTATTTGGCATTCCCACTGAGTTTGAACTTGCAGTTATTACTAATTCGGTAGTTTCTTTGTGCTGCTCTTGGATATTGATTGGTTTAGCCGTTTAGGTCTGAATGAATTTGGGAATGTATAATGATCTGATGCTCTGTGTGTGTGTGTGTGTGCATGCGTGCGTGCATGCAGGAAGGAGCAAGTTTTGCTAAGAGTATTATGGTTGTTAATCTGTTATCAATTGAAAACTAAATTTCATGTGTGATCTATTATGAGTTTATCTTATAATGATGTCTCTTCGGCTAGGGAAAGTAGGTATAATGGCATAAAACAATCAAGGAGAATTTTGGAACACCCACACCAGTCAGCGTACAAGCTATGATTCTATTCATGGAGTTGCAGATCGTAAGCTGAGCACAATGACCACAGAGACCATTGATTTATTAGGTACATCAGATGTTTCTATGGCTTCAAGCATGGAAAAGCCCAAAACTTCAGATGACCCAGACCCTATGGAAGGGAGTGATGACTCTAATGACGAAGAGCATGATGTATGTAGCATATTGAAACTTATATTTCATCACTTGTGCAGCTATCTTTTTTTGACTTTTATTATTGGGTTCAATTTGGCATCGTTTGCATGAGAACTTCTCCAATTTTCCATTACATCATTCACTAAAAGTCTAAAGCTGTTCTAAAGCCTTAGGGAACACCAGTTTAATTGGTCTAGCAATTTTAGTGCCAATTTGGCAAGACATTTTTCTGCTTATCGGCCTAGCTAGGTTTTCTACTTAACACTATATTCTTCCACTAGACTGGATGAATTGGCTGAATGACCATGAGTAGTGCAACAGTTACTCTTTTTTTGTTAAAATTATCTGAATGTTACTTCTACAGTTCTACCTTCATTTTCAGATATAATTTAATTTAAAGTATTAGTAAAATATGAGTTGTAGGCAAGACTCAAGAGGTTATGCTCAAAATGTTACTCCTTACGTCTCACTATCTTTGTTCTTTTTTTTCATTTTTGTATATAATATATATGTCGCATTCCTCAAAAATATGTCGCATTTCATATTTGTGTGCTGCAAAATCATATTTACTTTATCCATATATTACATAGTATCAGCTACACATTTCCCTTTTTTCTTATTTTGTGTGCCAACACCCCATGTCCAACATCTCATGTCCTAAACTCAGTGGGATAGGGAGTAATATGGATCAGTTCAAAGCACCCTTTTCAATCTGGACAAATGACAATACCTTGACGGAAACTGATCATATGACCCTTCCCACGAAGAATTTTTTTTTTTTTTTTGTAAAAAAAAAAGATGTTTATGGGAAAAGTACAGACTTATGCTAATTCCCTTTTCCGTTTTTCATCCAATTGGCTATACAATCATTGTACACGTTCTATGAGCAATTGTTTCTTTCTGCTGAAAACAGGTAAAAGTTTGTGATATATGTGGGGATGCTGGCCAGGAGGATTTACTTGCTGTGTGTTGTAAATGTACTGATGGAGCTGAGCATACGTAAGACTTGCAGTTGTTTTCATCTCCATCTATTCTCTACTATTCACACAGTACACTTTGTGGCAAATTTATTGTTCTTATTGTTGAATAGCAAACTAGTACTTTTATTGATCTAACTTCTAGTCTTTTTCTTACAACTTCATTCTTTCTGGAAATAAATACGTTACTTATATTGGAAAATAACAGACCATAAGTTTAACAAATTACTTGTCACAGTTATTGTATGCGAGAAATGCTTGAGGAAGTTCCAGAGGGTGATTGGCTATGTGAAGAATGCAAGTGGGAGCAGGACATGAAAACTCAAAAGCGAAACGAAACTTGTGAGGTTACTAGCGAAATTTCCTGTGCACCAAAATCACAAGGTCTTAAATCTTTTTCAGGCTCACCAAAATCACAAAGAACTGCTGTTTCTTCACTTTCTCGTGGAAGCTCATTTAAGAGCTCTGACAAGGGGAAAGCGAAAATAGATCCATTGTTTGCTGGTGCGTTTCTGATAAATGCTTCTTCAGCTTTAAACTCCCTGCTAAACTGTTCATTAAAGTAATGTTATTCTGCAATTGTGTGTGTGAAAGCTTCTCAATTTAGTAATGTTCTTCTACAATTACTGTGTGTGCATGTGCCCGCTCATTGTCACTTTTTGTCTCCTCAAAAGCTTTTAGGAGAGGGAGCTCAGTAAGTGTAAGGAAGTGAGGAGATTATAAAAGAAACAAAGGGGTGGGATTATAAAGAAGGAATTGGGAAATAATTAAACTTTGTTTGGATTGGATAAGGTTAAACATCTTAGTAAAGTGGTGGAAGGGAGAGAACTGTAAAGAATTATGATGTTCTGTAGGAAAGTAATACTACATATAAAAGCTTATGATTTTAATTTTTGAGGATAGTGGGGGATCATTCTTTTCCTTCCATTTGATCCCAATTTTAAGAGATTTCAAAAGAAAAAGAGATATACGAGAGTACTTTTTTTATTTCCTGGTTTGGAATATCGGTGACCTAAACATGTTTTATGTTTTTCACTCTCCTTTTAGAAAGTCAAACTTTTCATGCTATCTTGAAGATGTTTCCTTCATTGGTACCTCAATGAGTAGCCGTTTTGCAGGTACTTTTCCAAAGTCCAATTCATCTAGCTCCCGAATTGGCAGTCCAAGAATCAAACCCGGGGATGGAGTTTTTCCTTCAAAGCAGAAGTTGGTTAAAGAATCTGTTTCTACTAATTCAAAAGAGGGGTCCATCAGCTCAATGGGAAAATTTATGTCTTTAAAACCCACCAGCTCGAGTTCTGGTGGTGCTGAACTAATAGTCCAGACACCTAGGTTTTCTCATGACGAGGATACAAAATCACCTAGGTTTTCTCATTATGAGGATACAAAAAGGCAAAGATATACCAAAGAAGACCGTTCATTTGAGAGGAAGAGTTCTCTAGGACCAGAAAGTATGGTTGGTTTCCCTTTTCTTCATCTAGATTTGATAAACAATCAACACATCACCATATTTCTTTTCCAACATCTTCCGCAAGCAAAATTAAAGACGGCAAGGCTAATTATGGTGCTGATTTGTCAATATAATTATGCATTACTCTCTCCATCCCCAAATTAAGTTTACTCTTTTCGTTTTTGTGTGTCTCAAAATAAATTTTGTACTTCTCCACTTTCTTTTTCAAGAATATAATGTATACGTGGTTCTTAATAACTCTTTCTTTCCCAAACAAATTCCAACAACCCACTTTTTACTTTTCAAAACTTTTTCCTAAAGTCCGTGAAGTCAAACCAATAATTTAATTCAGGGATGGATGGAGTACTTAAATTGTTGTGTGGTGTCATCATTCTGTGTTTTCTACTTATTGAGAGCTCGTATTGTAAAGCCTAAAATGGCTGGATGGTTGGATTGGCTGAATATGTAGAATTATCTAAAACAGTACTCTTTAAACTGCACACATTCATTTTTTCATCCATTCCCAACTGATCTCTCATTTCTTTTTCAAGGAAAGAGATATGCGTCTCATAATATTCCTCTCTCTTTTATAAAAATTCCAACCACATATTTTTCACTTTTCAACACTTTTCATCAAATTGCATGCCTGGTCAAACCGGTCTAAAATTGGGATGGAGGGAGTAATTAAAACATTTTTTTAAATTAAAGAAAATGTTTTCTTGCTTCTGTGTGTGCTGCCACGGAAGTGGTGCGTCACACTGCTTGCTAGCTTAGTTGTTTTTCTTAAACACTTCTCACATATTGGAAGCAAAATCTCTACTTCTCAAGATAGAGAGGTAAGGTCTGCATACATCTTGCTCCCATACCCTACTTTTGAGCTTTGTTTGGTTTGGTTTGGTTTGGTTGTGTTTTAGAAATTGTTTAAAAGAAAATATACCTATGGTTTAAGTTCCTTTTAAAATTTATCTCAGCCAGTTTCAGTGAATAAAGTAAAACTTCAGTACTATTTTTTTTTTAAATTTCCAACTGATTAGATCAGTGAAATAAAAGAAGACAATGTTTGCTGAAAAATCTGGCTGATAAAATGCATATCGAAAGGGCATCTGATGTGTTTTGTCTTTTGAGCTGACGGTTTTCTATCCATACAAGGAAAATTTAATGAAGAGGTGTTGGATTTTGGTGGAAATTCACCTGCCAAGGCAGTTATTAGCTATTCTGATGAAGAAAAGTCTGGTCAGGCTGCTTTTCCAAAGGAAGATAGACCTGTGGTTGATGCACCCGTGGTTAATAGACCTGTGGTAGATGCACATGTTGCGAAAAATTCAGGGGAGACCATGAATAGCACATGTGATTTGAAAGCTGCAATTGAGGCTGCTATGCTCAAGAAACCTGGAATTTGCAGAAAGAGTAAGGGTATGTTTGGATTGCTAATGAAGTTATTTTCTTGTATCTGGTTTTACAACCAAAAATGCAGAGAATGAAATAGAACTAATATTTCTTTTACTTACATTTTGTTAAAGAGTATCCCACATTAGAAAAGTGATGAAAATAATGGGTATATAAGCTATTGAGTTGAACTAACGATTAGATTTAATCTTTTAATGTGGTTCAACCCTAGTGCCTTATGGCCCAATCTAGTGATTCTAGTATCCTACCCCATTATCAGAGCTAGTTTTAGCCCACGTCGTTTGTTAAGGTGTTCGTCTAGACGTTCATTCCTAGCAGCCCTGGTCCACAGTTGCCGTGTGGAATGTATATCTAACGACTTGTGGCTTGTTTAACCCGATTGCTCGTTTGGAAGTCGACACCCAGCGGCTCTAAGCTCTTGGTCCTTTAGGTGTTGGTGCTCAAAAAAAAATCAAGGGGATGAGAGTTCATTTGCAAGTGGTCAACCAGTTGATTTAAAATGGCCCGGTCATCTACTTGAGGGGACTGTTAAAGAGTATCCCACATTAGAAAAGTGTGAAGAAAATAATGGGTATATAAGCTTTTGAATTGAACTAAGTAATCGATTGGATTCAATCTTTTTAAGGTGGTTCAACCCAAGTGTCTCATGGCCCAATCTAGTGATCCCTACCCATTCTAAATTCTATCACATATGTCTAGATTTCTTAGTCTTTTATATTTTAAAGAGTCAAATATATTAATAAAACGAGTTTGAACAAATATCAGAAATAAAATTATTGAGTTTGAACAAATATCAGAAATAAAATTATTGAGTCTGAACAAATGTCTTTTCTGCCTTTCCAAAATTCCAATCTATTTCCCTTTTATTTTCTTTTCCTAGCATTTTCCAAGTTCCTACTAGACCCTAAAGTTTCTGACAATTTTGAGGACTTTTCTGCAGCGAACACAGACAGTGATCATCAGAAGAGAAGTTTTAAATGCTCTTTGGATATCCTTCGTGCTGAAAGTCTCAGAAGTGTAGATAAACTAGCAATATCAATACTTGTTAAAACAGCCATCCCAAAACATCAGTTCATATGGAGGTACCAGTTTAAACCTTTTCACTTATTATCATGTTGTGCCCCCCTCCACCTCTTGGTGATTTTAGTATCAGCGGCTATTTTACATTATTGCATTTACTTAGATCAGACAAGAACTTTAATAGATTTAACGAGTTTGGAGGTGCGGAAGGCATGCTTGTTCAACTATATTACAAATTCTATACCGGGGGTACTAGGGCGGCAGCACCCGGGTGGCTGGAAAATTTTATTTTAGACATTGTTGCTTTACGAAAATCCTTCATATTTTTGTAAACGGGATCTTAAATAAGTAACATTCAAATGTATAAATTGTTGTGTATTTTTATGAAGAGACATGTTCGATCAGACTTTTCTCTATAATCTATATATGTAGAGACCCACGTTATGTTTGGGCATATAGAACTTTCACACTCATTTTAATTACTAATGTCCTATCCGATTGAATCTGTAAAAGCTTGTTTCACACAATTCGTTGAGTTTATCGAGTCTTCTTCACATTCATCGTATACCAATCATATATAACGCTGCTAGTTGTCACCCCCCTCCCAACATTTCTAAACCCCCAACCCAACAATTTTTTGTGATTGAATCTCAGGGTGAAGTTACAACTTAGGGCTTGGTTTGGTTGAATATTTGGAAGGGAGGGGACAACTTATTCTACTTACTAGTTACTAGAACTTATTTTAATTATCACTAGAATAATCAAAATAAGCCAAAGGATAAGTTGTTTTTTGGTTGGCGGAAATGGATGTTATCAAATGCTTCTCCTTTCAGAAAAATTTAGCCAAATAACCTTCCCTATAATTTCTCAGCTTCACTTTCTAAATCCTTCTGTAAGGTTTACATGTGTTGTCAGCGTGAGAGCATGAGTCCCTGATCAAAGAATTAGGTAAAATGTGGGTATGGAAGGATAACCTAGGTGAGTATAGTGAGTGAATAAACATGAGTGGATCTAAGTCACTATGGACGACCCAATTTGTAAATATGAGTGAATTAACATTAAAAAATGGGGTTAAATGATTAGCATTTAGGAGTAAGAAAAAGCTATTGAGATAAGGAGAAAAATATTTCAAAGTGATTGTTGTCAATCGTATAAATTTAAGAATAAAATATTGAAATTAATATCCTCTACATAATTTTTTTTTGTGCAGAGGAGAATTTGAGGTTCGCAAGAGTGGGAATGCGCTAGATTTATGTGATGGGATTCAAGCACATTTATCATCTTGTGCATCTCCTAGAGTTGTTGATGAAGTTAGGAAATTCCCATGCAAGGTCTTGCTTAATGAAGTGACTCGTTTGAGTACCTGGCCTCTGCACTTCCATGAGTTTGGGGTTAGAGAAGATAACATAGCCCTCTTCTTTTTTGCCAAGGACCTGCGGAGGTATCAGTCTTTTGATCTTCTTTCTTTGAACTTATATATATATATATATATATATATATATATATATATATATATATATATATAATGTGTGCTTGATGAAGTGAAAGATTCGTATAAAACAACAATATAATGAACCTCTCTGCCTGAGCAAAACTTCTCTAAAACAATGCAGTTTGACTGTTGAGCTAACAGCTTCAAGAACTCCTTTTCATTCATTTCACCACCACCAGCCCCTTGGTTCTAACTACAAGGGGCAAGGAACAATTGGCCAGGTTTCCGTTGCGGAAAGTGAGAGTCCTGAAATATGTGCCAATAAAAGCAAATTCTCATTTCTTCATAATATATCCCAAGATCACACCAAGCAAGCCAACAATGATGACAAACATGAACGAAATGCCACCGCTGCGACTTTTGTGGATGTTGCGCTTTAAGAGCTCCAGTTCTTGACGAAGTCTGTGATTTTCCCTCAGAAGATTTGTCAAGGGAATCACTAAAAGCGGGAGGGAGTATATAAAATTTTGTAGCAAGGGAGTATTATAGTATGTAAAATTAGTCCTTTAAAAATTGAAAACAGTGTCCTGTTTGGTCAAGCAAAGCTAAATTTTAATATAATTTCCCAAAAAAGAGCTTCAAACAAATAAAGTACTCCATATGATAAAAATAGTTAAACGACAAATAAATTTTTAAAGTATATGCAGGATACTGAGGCTTTTAAGAGTTCTGCTTTTCGAAATTCTAAAGTTGTCACCTTGGTCAAGCATTACATGATTGGATGGAGAGAATATGTTTTAAATGGTCCTCCATTATATTTGTTCCTTTCAACTAAAACTGTTTATTGCTATGATGCAGTTATGAGAAGAGCTATAAAGTGCTACTTGCAAATTTGATGAAGCATGACCTAGCTCTTCAATGCAACTTTGGAGGCATTGAGCTGTTGATATTCCCGTCTAACCAGCTTCCAGAAAACTTCCAACGTAGGAATGATAAACATGATTTACAATTGTTCTTGTTGTTTTCTCTCACATAGATTGTACTTTGGTGTTCTTGCTATATAACATGTCAATGCATATTTTGGTCCTGGAAAATGCAAGGGAAACAATTGATTTGAGTAACAAAGCCTTATCCCACAAGGTGAGGTCGGCTACATGGATCAAATGATGCCATTGCACCCTATCATGCACCATATTTGTAGCGAGATCATACACGTGAAGGTCCCCTTTGACCACTTTGTGCCAAGTATTCTTAGCTCTACATTTTCCTCTAGCCACATGTCTATTCACTAATCACTATTTGATCGACCCTTCTCACCGAATGCTCTATCGGCCTTTCTCCACATGTCCAAACCACCTAAGACGAGTTTCCATTTTGTGGATAGCTGTTTTAACACTTGAAGCGTTATTTAATATCTTCCTAGGAACTGTTATTTAATATCTGCCTAGTACTTTTGAGAACCTATTATTGATCATTTGGTCTTTTATTCATTTCATCTCATATCGTTTTATTTTATTTTTTTATAATTTAAACATGTTATATGCAGGGTGGAATATGATGTTTTTCTTATGGGGCGTGTTCAGAGGGAAGAAGGGAAATTCTTCTCAATATGTTCATTGTGAAAATCCTGCTCTACAAGTATCTGAACCTGCATCTTCAAATAAAGAGGTAAATTGACTCCACAATATGTAATTATTTTTAGCGGCCAATCTGAGTAAGGGGTTAAATAGTTAAATGTGCAGAGAGGCCGTCTTTTTATGCATTGCTGCATGTACTGCTCAAAACTTCATTAAAAGTAAGAAGCAAAGGAAGTACCTGAAACTTAAACATCGTCAATTACGACTAGTTTTAATCTCCATTGGCAATGGACATGAAAAATCTAAAAATCAATATTTTTGTAATTTGAAAAAGAATTTAGTTCATAAGGGATGCTGTCATTAAGTCATTATCATCATGTGAATGTGTTGTTATTATACATAGGTTGATGAAGCAGCAGCAGGTGCTATGGTAGCAAGTTCATCAAAGGAAACTGTCAACAGAATTGAATCCAACCACAAATCTGCAGATGTAGGAACAACTCCAGACAACATGGATATAGACACAATGCCATGAATATGCAATCCTATGTTACAGTCTGCGAGATTTGTTGTTTGCAAAGCACATCGCGACAAGAAAAGGAAGCCCATTTTTGGTATATGACAGCCAGCCACTAGGTGCTCGAATGGATTTTTTGCATCAGATTCACGAGGCTGGAAAGACAAGCTAGCAGGTACGTTACTATTATCTTGGAAGAAATTAAAGCTCTCGGAGTATGGAGACTCTGATCCATAATGTGTCCCAAACAACAACCCTTTTTTTGAATAGTAGTGACTTAGGTTATAAAACAATGTAGAAATATGTCAAAAAACACATCAACCAAAGACCAAGCTTGTTGTATATAGACAAGGGTTGGTTACTCTGCCTTCCCTACCTTTTGTTCCCTAAGGAAAAATTCTGAAAAGTTATACTCCGTAATACTTAATTTGTCTCAAAATTAAAGTCACACTTTTTATTTGACATACCTGACACACTAATAAGATTATAATGCTCCTATCTATTCCCTGTGTTTTTTCGTTCGTCTCAATATAATTTTTAAATTTTTTGCATTTTCTTTTTAAGATTTTTTTTTAAAAAATGTCATACATTTATATGTTTATATGTAAAATCCTACATGACTTTTTTCACCTTTATTAATTTGTGAAGTTAAACCCTTAACTGTTTATACTCTGTATATCCAAAGCCAAAGATTAGCGAGGCTGAGAGAACAATACTCCGTAGGATAAAGGTTGATAACTTCATAGTCTATTATGTGAATACTTTATCAAGTGTAAAACAAAAGTTATTTTTGGATTACTTAACGATGGTTGGTTTAATTCATTTTTTATTCAATTTTTTAAATGACAATAGTATTGAGATTGTTTCCCTATGCTAGTGCTTATTGACTTGTTAGAATGAACAACACAAATATATTAACACCAGTACCTCAGATACAATCATTACAATACAACTTAGCACAATAAGCAAATCTAAACAAAGTATTGAACTTTGAGTTTACCGTTCACATAATGTTTAATATAGAAGAAAATGTACTCCACACTCCTCTCCAAGTTGAAAACTTCCTCGTGATTTGTGAATATATCTGTTCCTAGACCTCCAAATGGTGTAAACAAAAGCTGCCAAAACTTTTATTTAGGGGCATAAGTTTTTTTTAAAAAAAGTTTTGAAGTCAAGACGATCAACAACCACGACTTTTGTTTTATTCCCATGCCAACCAACACTTGTGTTTTTTTTTCTGCAGTTGAAGAAATTTGGACATATTCTCAAATTCAACACTGTACGGACACAACCAACTTTGGTTATACTTCCTTCTTGTCCCACGCAACTTTTCTAATTGCCAATTCAATTTTAACCTTAATTTCATTTATTTAAAAATTAGTGTAATATTAAAAAAATAAAATTTATATAATTATAATTATAATATCCCATTCATGTTTTTTGCAAAATAAGAAATGGTCAAATTTAATTTAATACTAAGTATTGAAATAGATAGATATGCCAATGTCCAATGTAGGTTTGATATTTTCTTGATTTAAGTCCCAATAGTATGGTATGTTGAATCTTCAAAAAAAAAAAGTTGGGTAAGTTGCTTTTCCTTCTAGAAGCCTTAAAAATAAATAAGTGCTCAATTATCACCAAATTCTTGGATTTTAGCTACCGAGTATATATGTTTGGTTTGGACTTTAAACACTATAATATTCACCTCTTGTTTTATATAACTATAGGGATCAGAGTATTTGATATAAGTTTTAAATACTACATATGTAAATTTTATTTTGAAATTTTATATCATTGTTTCAATAAATTGAATTGAGAATGAATCCAATCAAGTCTCATTATCCGCAGGTGATTTTAGTTACGGGAAGAAGGAAGTAAATTTTCTTTCTTCAATGTGATGCCGATTTCTCCTTCAACTTTCTCCACCCTTCTCTAATCATCTACGTTTTTATTATTTTTTCTCACGTGTCATTTTTATTTGTACAAAAAATAAAAATAAAAAGTACTTAGCAATTGGTCAATCACATATTTTCTCCATCCAACGAATATTATTCTCTCGTTCTCTTTTTTCTCTTATATTCCCCACCCCTTTTTAATAACTCTTCTCATCTTTCCCCTTTCACATCATCATATTCTCTCCTTATTGCTTCCCCATTAATGATACTTACACTATGTTTGGTTCAAGGAATTCAGAAGAAAAAAAATTATTTTCTCTAAGATAAGAGAAATATGAATTTTCTCCCTTCGTATATTTTTTCTTCTCATTATACTTTTCTTACAATTTTTTTTCTTTTTTCTCTCTAACCAAATTTAAAAATTGTTTTTCATCTCATTTTTTTCCTTTTCCTTTTCAAATTCTTTGAACCAAAGAGAGGTGAAGTGTAGCAAAGACAAAAAACAGAGAGGGTAGAGAGGTGAGGGAACAAAAACAAAGGAAAGAAAAGGCACATGAAAAGTAGAGCTACCAACCAAATCAAGCCCTAACTTATTAATGAAATGCTAGCTGCTCCACATCAACTAACCACTCAATTCATCTTTTTCTCACCAACTCATCAGAACCTCTTCTATTTATATCTAGGGCTGTAAACGGATAACCGAAAATTCGATTACCGTCCGCATCCGTATCCGTTTATATAGAAAATATCCGCATCCGTTAAAAACGGTTATTATCCGTATCCGATTAAGGATATCCGATTGCTAAACGGATACGGATTTGGTAATCATACATCCGATCCGTTTATAATCCGCTCCGCATTGACATCCGTTTAAATAACCGTTTATCCGTGTATCCGATCCGTTATATATGGTCTTTCCTAATTTTTTATTTTTATATTTTGTTTCTCTATAGATANCGATATCCGACAAAAGTAAACGGATACGGATTTGGTAATAGCACATCCGATCCGATTAAAATCCGTTTACACCCCTATTTATATCTTACTCCGTATCTGATTTTATTACTCTCTCCATCCCTATAAGATCGCCAGAGTTTGATTTTTTAGTTAAATTATGACATCTTTGACCATAAATTAAATATAGTTTAAAATAGTTAAATTTTATAAAAGTTTGATATTTTAAAACTATATTTTGAAATAAATCATATTTTATTAAATTTACATTATAACCAAAAATACTTTTTTTATAATTCACGATCAAAAAGTGCCACAGTTTAACTAAAAAAGTCAAATTGTGACAATCTTTTAGGGACAGAGGAATTATGTATTACTCCGTAAAATTTACCTAATGATTTAATGTCATCGGATTTTAATTAAATTTAAAGTTATTTCAGATCTTGTTTGATCTAAGCTAATTTTAATAACAACCTTGCCTTGATTTGATCAAAGGTTGATACGGAGTACTATCGACTTGATGCATGTGTGACTGTCGCTAGTGGTGTTAACCTTGATATCATTCTTGAATTTAAAATATAAGGTTTTACTCCCTGTCACCAATCTTTGATTAAAATCTAATTTACCTCTTTTCAGTGACTGTTCGACCAAGTCAGAAGAGACCTCAGGATGAGGCTCATCCTTTTTTGAAATTAAAATATCATTGCTCAAAAAAAAAATCCTAGGCATTCTTTGTGAGGTACAGGTAGGTAGGTAAGGAGGTATAAATACCGAGTCAAGAAGTCATTATCGTCCCCTCCCTCTTCCTTAGTTTTTTTTCTTTCTAGATCTCCTCCGATCCTCGCCATTTTCAAATACTCCCCATTTTGTGCACAATTACAACCAATAGAACAAACTTAGCACCATAAATTCTACATTAATTTCCATCGTCTGAACTTTACTTTTATGCAAATCTGTAATGTGTAGTGTAAGCTAATAAGATAAGACATGGGGAGATCTCCATGCTGTGAGAAAGAGCATACAAGCAAAGGGGCATGGACCAAGGAAGAAGACGACCGCCTTACTCGCTATATCGAACGCCATGGCCAAGGTTCTTGGAGGACTCTTCCCAAAGCTGCCGGTACCCATTTTCTTCTCCTTTAAAACAACAAATACAACAAACCGATTAAAATTCTGCAAAAAGTATGTTCTGGAAAGAGTGTGTGTACGCTTACTTGTTTCCAAGAGACAATTAAGAAAATAATCAATTTTTTTTTTAAAAAAATAAACATTCAAGAGATGTATGTATGCATATACTCAATGTGTGTGAATGTATATATGTAATATGCAGGTTTGATGAGATGTGGGAAGAGTTGCAGGCTTAGATGGATAAATTACCTGAGACCCAATCTCAAAAGAGGCAACTTTACTGATGAAGAAGACGACCTCATCATCAACCTCCATACTTTACTTGGAAACAAGTATGGTTCTTCTCCACCATATATTTTCCCCATTTATATCTGCTTCCCAAATGATCATGCACACCCGCACACACCCATAAATGTACTCTAATGAATTGCTATTTCAGTGAGAACCAAGTGTTCTTCTGGGTAGTTTGTTAATGAGATAGTTTGTCATGGCAAGTGCTTCAATTCTATCCAAAACATGGCTGCAACGTTCTCCATTTGAAGGAGACTAATGAGGACCTCAAGAAAATGGCTGTTTATTTATATAGACCAAGATATGCATAGAGACGCGATCAACTAAGCACCCTTTAATTCACTACTGCTTTGGGTACACCCCATTCCAAACCGTGTTGCAATTAAATTGTTCAATTCATTCAAGCACAAATTAAGCAATTCCATTGAAAGTTACAATCAATAACATGCTGATAAACTAGATGATATTGTGTTGTTGAATAATGTTTTGTGTTTGTGGTGAGCATGTTATTGCAAGAAATTTATCATACACAATAACAATAATCCAGTAGAATTCAATTCAACCCCATTGAGTTCCTTGATTTTGAGCATCTTGATGCACAATTCATAGATTATTTGTCCCATAGAAATGATAATATTCTGAATTATTTATGTTTGTTTGAAACATTGAATTGAATGTTCTGAATCATTATGCAGATGGTCAGTTATAGCTTCTCGCCTGCCAGGAAGAACAGACAATGAAATTAAGAATTATTGGAACACTCACATTAAAAAGAAGCTTCTCCGCCGCGGCATCGACCCCCAAACTCACCTCCCTCTAATTATGCCCTGTTCGCCGCCTCCTAGATCCGCTGCGCCGCCTGACACCTCCCGCTCCCCCGCCGCCGTCCCTGACGTTATCGATCTCGAGTCAGGCGGCGGCGAGTTATTGATCTCGAACCCAACTGCGGATCATGCCGTTAACCTGGAGCTGTCCATCAGTCTTCCGCATGAACAACCGTCGATGCCGGCGCCGAACCTCCACGCGGGGGAATGTGTTAACGATCATCCGTTATTTAGTGAACGGAGACCGGTGTGCGTGAGTTGCGGTTTAGGGTTTCGGCGAAATGACGGGTGTAACTGCGATACATTGACGGCGACGGGCAGCGTGCACCCGGAAGAAAGAACGCAGAGATTTTACAGGCCCCTGAGTTAATAAGGAAATGTAATTTTGCCCCGATACTTGTGGCTATTACCTGTTAGTCCTTATTTCTAAATACATCATGACTTTAAAAGTAATACTCCCTATTATTTACAAATTCCTATAAAATAATATAATATAAAAATTACATATTTAAAAACAATATAAATAATTATACAATATAATAGGTGATAAAAATTATTTTGTTAAATAGTCAATGAAAGAATACAAAAAACAAAAGTTATTGAGAAAATACTCATTCGCTCTGTGAAAAGTGTTTTTATTTGATTTTGCATATTTTAAAGAAAAGGTAAAATAAAAAAATTTACTATATCTAGAATTAATTTAGATCAAAGAAATATGACTCATTTTGTAGAGCATAGTATGAATTTTTTTTCCCGGTATTATTCGACATGCATGTATATTAATGAAAGATGAAAAATTATTGACTTTGATCCATATTTATTTTTTGATATATGATAAGTAACATATCGGATAAGGAAGACCCAAAAGAGTTGAATGTAAAAAACAAATCAGACCATAGCATCATTGTAAGTAGGGATGAAAATTCAACTCGAACCCGATCTTAAATGATCCAATCACACACTAAAATATCTGAACTCGAATCGAAAATAAAATAACCTGAACCCGACCTAAAGTTTTTTACCCCAACCCGACATCAGGTCGGGCCGGATATAGTTTATAATTTTACCCGACTCGACTTGAACCTGAATATTTTATAATCTAAAACCTTATCTACGGAGTAGCTATAACATCAAGAAATGTTGGTTGACCAAGTCGATTACAATTCACTGATTGTATGGGTTGGAAGGATTCGTACACTAAATTATTGTCATGCAACACCCTGATCCACGTAACCCAGATAACATGAGCTATTGAACCGAAATGATAAAGATTGGTAAAGTAGCAACATGATTTATAAAAATGCACCACTTTATTGTTAAACCAAATCCTAATAAATAAGATTATCACAATGTTCAAACATTTAAATATTAACATAGTGATAATTAAAAACAGCGTGGAAGCATATAGAAGTTTAAACTAGTACATATTAGGGTAAAGCCCCCAATTTATTCGGTAAATTAAAATCATAATAAGTCTACGATGTGTCATGTGTCATCGCCTCTTCCACCTCAATGCTCACATAGATCATTTCCATCATGTTTCTTTTTACCTATGAATAGTCACACAACAAAGAAAATTGTACGCTCACCGAAATTGTTGAGTGCAGTGGCACCCACTGAATTAGAATAGGAATGTACTCCCTCCGTCCCACTGTCTTTGTCCACTTACCTTTTGGCACACCATCCAATGCACTTCTTTAATCCATTTTATCTTGTAATTTGTATATTAAAAAATTATAAAAATTATATATTAATAATCTATATGTTAAGACGAATCAAACAAGATCACACATGACTATTTTTAGGCTTACACATTGAGAGAATTTGATAAGTCAAAGTGCTTAGATGAACAGTTCCAAAAGTCAAAACTGGACAAAGATAATGGGACGGAGGTAGTATATATGTATTAGTATGAATATTATATTTGGCAGTAGAAATGGTTGAAGGCATGAATGTTAACTCAACAAACTGGAGTTCAAGTCCCATCTTGGCATTTTTTTTAACCCTTTTATCAACTAACCCCTGTAAGTTTTTTGTTTAACTACACTTAATATTTTTATTTACACTTTACATTGACCCACTCCACCAAATGTCTAGCTCCACCACTGGTTGAGTGGTACGTACCACAACTAAATTTTATAGAATAATTCATAATATACAATTCACGTAGTAAAATCATTATTTATCCAAAATTGATATTTTCATATTAACCTTTTTTTATCAACCAAGTCTTAAAAGTCCATCATAAATCCATAATTTCACCCATTCTGCTTCCTCTTGTTGTGCTTGTTGCCACCAGTAGTAACAGGCTAACAGCCTATCGTGAAACAAAGAAGAATGAGAGCTCTTCTTTCATCGTCAGATGAAGAAGATCTCATTTTTCGAGTGTTTGTAAAGAGAATTAAAAGAAATACTATCTCGTTCACTAAAATGCTTCCTCTTTCATTTTTTTCTTCCACCAAAACACTTCTACTTTATGTTAAAAATCACTTTTACCATACTTTTTCTTACTCTATCTATCACATCATACTTTTTTCTTTAATAATTTATCTAAATTATCTTACTTTACCCATTACATCAAGGGTAAAATTGGAAAGGGGATGCAACGTTCAATTTGCAGTTGTTGCGTCAAACCTTTGACGCAAGTGTGTGTGCGGGTGATGACGATGGGAGGGGATAGTGTTTAACGTCCCGATGACATTAAAGGCATATCATGCACCATAACACCGATGGTCGTTATGGGCATTTCCAGTGGTCTAAGATGGCGGAATGGGTATATATAATTATAGAGTAAATTCCATAATTGGTCCTTTATAATATGGAGGTTTCTCTATTTAGTCCTCTATTATCAAATATTATCCGAGTGGTCCTTCTTTTATGGGTATCTTTCCACAAATAGTCCTTTTTTTGATCTTCTATCATGTTGGTGTTAATTTGAGGGCTAAAAGTGTAATTTCACAATGATAATATATCTTTTTTGTCATACACAATTCTAAAGGCTGTTCCGTTTGCGTCGTTTGTGAATTATAGTCGCTTTCTACTACAACCATAGTCTACGAATGTGGTCTTTCGTTGGAATCCTAGCCCACAATCATAGTCATTATTTTTGTGTTATCCGCTTAACCAATATCAGAACACGTCACTAGACATAATGTTGATGTCAAATTCTACTTTTAGCCTTTAAATTAACACCAACATGGCAGAAGATCAAAAAAAGAACCATTTGTGGAAAGGCGCCCTTAAAAAAAGAACTACGGGAGTAATATTTAATAACAGAGGACTAAATATAGAAACCCCCTGTTATAAAGAACCAATTATGGAATTTACTCATAATTATATACTCACTAGCTAGGTACGGAGTATGTAACTGTGCACGTGCATGCATCTATATATATATCCTAGCTAGCTAGATTGATAAATTGATAGTAATATAAACGAATTAATATAATTAAAGAAAAAGTGGGTGGGCGGTACGTGGAATAAATATATAATCCCATCTATTAAAGTTTTTCTTCTTTCTTTTTTCGTTTGTCTGAAAAAAATTTCTCATTTCTATTTAAAAGTCATTTTTATCAGGCGTTTTTGGAAACTCAACATCAAAATACGTTGTCATTAAATCTCTTAAAAATCAAAATCTCTCATGAATCTCTAATAAGGCCAAATAGCTCTGGTGCCCCATGTGGTTTGGAAAATTGGCACTAATACCCCCTCTATTTTCAAATCTTACTTCTAAAATCCCCGTGGTTTCAAAACGATACACCCACACCCCCTCTGATCATTTTCCGGCCATTTTCCGGTGAAGTGGGGGCATTTACGCATAATTTTTAAACCGTAGGGGGGCATTCATGCTCATTTTTTATTTTTCGTTTATTATTTGTGTTTTCCATTTTTTTAAATATTTTCTCTCTTTTTCCCTTTCCTAGATTTTTTTCTAATTTGTTTTTTTCAATTTTTTATAATGTTCTAAAATTTTTAAAATTTTTTGTGTTTGAAATAAAAATAAAAATAAAAAATTAACATACATTGCATCTATTTGAAATTAAACATTTTCACTTTTTGTTACGCACTTATTTGGAAAGTTCAAAGAGAATAACCTAGAATAAAAAATAAAAATATGGAAAAATAAAATGAAAAATAAAAGTACACAAAAAAGTCTGATACAAAAAAATGGAAAAATGCACCCCCACTTCATCGGAAAAATGGCCGGAAAATGATCAGAGGGGGCACGGGTGCAACATTTTGAAACCACAAGGACTTTAGAAATAAATTTTGAAAAGAGAGTGAGTTTTGGTGCCTATTTTGCAAACCACGGGGTACTACTGGGACTATTTGGTCTCTCTAATAAATTAATAATTGAGAGATGGAACGGTATGCATGTATTTAAGGGCGATGGATGGATGTGCAGATTCAATATAATTCTTAGGAGTCGCCGGCCGGCCGGAGTGATTTATTTTATTAATAAATTTCTATATATAGGCCCCGTCGCTTGCTGGCCAGGGATCACATTATCTATGCATAATCTACATACAAATATATACATATATCGATCAATTGAATCATAATAATAATAATAATAATAATAAATAAAAATGGAGAAGTACGAGTCGGTGAAAGAATTGGGGAGTGGCAACTTTGGGGTGGCGAAGCTTCTCCGCCACAAACACACCGCCGACCTCCTCGCCGTCAAATACATCCCCCGCGGCCCCAAGGTAGCTACGTTTCTTTTCTTTTCTTCTTCTTCTTTCTTATCATTAATTTCCCTAGATAATTAATTAATCAATTAATTGTTTTTAATTTCCTGATTAATTTGCTTATATTAATCAATTAATTATTATATGCACATATATGAATGGAGATTGATGAGAATGTAGGGAGGGAAATCATAAACCACAGATCCCTCCGCCATCCCAATATCATACGCTTCAAAGAGGTATGCATATATATAGTACTCTCTATCTATCTATGTAATTAATTAATTATTAGTAATTCATGCATGAATCTTCAATTAATTCATAATTAATTAAATGTATGTTATCTTTGCATGCATGACATGATAATTATTTGGTATGGTATGGTACGATATGACATGGCATGGCAGGTTGTCCTAACAGAAACGCATTTGGGGATAGTGATGGAGTACGCAGCGGGTGGCGAACTTTTTGATCGCATCTGCCAAGCTGGTCGGTTCAGTGAGGATGAGGTACATATATCATAGCACGTGATGTCAAACTTGATGTCACCGATAAGCCTCCTTATAATTAATGTGTATAAGATTAAGAAGATAGATGGAAAGTTATGAGTTTAAACTCTAGCTAGTACAATTAGAGGCATTAATGCTTTAAACTTTTTTTTTAACGGACTAAATAGAAGTGGATCATCTCGAAATTATTCCCTGAAAAGAAATGATATGATGGATGGAGGACACTCTCACCAAGTTAAGTGAAGGTGAGGGCACTATTCCAAAAGAAAATTATCTCCCTTTAAAAGTCAAAATCAAAAAGGTTTTATGGGACGGAGGAATTATATGATAATATATAGTAGGGAGTATATATGGGATGATGGATAATTTTGTGAAGTGGGCGGATGCATGCAGGCGAGGTACTTCTTTCAGCAATTGATCTCCGGGGTCAGCTTCTGCCATTCCATGGTATACACTTATCTCTTCTTAATTTCAATATAAATAAATAGTGTCAAACCCAATTTAAATGGCCAATCAATTGCGCATTTATGGATCGGAGGTATACTATAATTATGGTCGAATGCCATTTTATTATTGCATGCTACGAAAGTACCAATTTCTGACGTTGAAAAAAATCGGAGATAACTAAACTAAAAACATTGACTTTGTGGCCGGGTGCAGCAAATATGCCATAGAGATTTGAAATTGGAAAACACGCTATTAGATGGAAGCCCAGCTCCTCGCCTTAAGATTTGTGACTTTGGCTACTCTAAGGTATTCTTACTTTGGCCCTATCCGATCCATCCCTCCCTTCCAATAAAGAAATAAATCCTTTTTTTATTTGTCTTAAATTAGTTTTCTTACTTTGTTACTTTCAAAAATGCAACAAATTCTAATCAATTCATCATGTAGATATAAAAAGTTAAAACATGACAAACACTCTGATGCAATGGTTACCTTCATCATATATTGGTATTTCAATACAATCATGAAAACATTAATTATTTATTTTGGGAACCGTACATAGTCATCGGTGTTACATTCCATGCCAAAGTCGACGGTTGGAACACCTGCTTACATAGCACCAGAGGTTCTCTCTCGTCAAGAATACGACGGCAAAGTACGTCCGGTCCTTTTATATACACTTTGTTTTATTTTCCTACCTGGTTAACTAAATTATTATTAACTGGATATATCACTAATAAACTGTTCCTAAACATTGATTTAAAATGGAACACATAAATGTACGTGCCTGCAGACAGCAGATGTATGGTCATGTGGAGTAACTCTGTACGTGATGCTGGTGGGAGCTTACCCTTTTGAAGACATTGATGACCCCAAAAATTTCAGAAAAACCATCACCGTATGTAAATTTATTCATAATATATCGATCGTCTTGCTAATTATTATGCAAAGTAATAATTAGTCCTATCGTTTTCTTTTAATACATATATAAAACATTCAATCCAAATCATCCATGTTTACTTTTAGTTTGAAAAAAGAGAGGTAATGTTTGTGTGGTTTGTGTAGAAAATAGTGAACGTGCAATACAAGATTCCAGACTACGTTCATATATCTCAAGATTGCAGGCATCTTCTATCTCGCATTTTTGTCCCCAGCCCTTCCAGGGTAATAACCCATCTAATTAATTAACCTGCTTTTATACATAAACATGTTTGATGAAGTTTCAGCAAATTCAATTAATTTTGATGCAGAGAATCACAATAGATGAGATAAAGAGCCACCCATGGTTCTTGAAGAACTTACCAAGGGAACTCACTGAGTCAGCCCAAGCAATCTACTACCAAAGGAACGCCGCAACCTTTGCCGGCCTGCAAAGTGTTGAGGAGATCATGAAGATTGTGGCGGACGCTAGGAATCCCCCAACAATGTCCCGGACCGTCTCTGGTTTCCCTTGGGGGGACGAAGACATAGGAAACAGCAAGGAGGCAATAGTGGATGAAGAAGAAGCAGAAGAAGAGGATGATGATGATGAATATGAGAAGCATGTGAGGCAGGTTCATGCAAGTGGGGAATTTCACATCGCCCAAGCCAATTGATCCTTCTCTAGAACTTCAATTTCTCTGATATATATGCTCTAAATATATAGATTAGAGAGTATATATGTATGATGGCCATCTTAAGCAAAAAATATTTTAGTACCAACCATCTGGGAGACTACGGTACTAGCACACGTGGCAGCTCGTGTATAGAACAAGTCTGCATAATCTTCTTTTTTTCTTTCCACACAAGAGCAAATACTACATCCATCATATGCTGGCACAATCGTGCATAAACCGTGCACTTTATGTACACAATATCGTGTAATCTTTTTCATGAAAGACATTTCAAAGCAAGCAAAAGAGGACCAGTTCTTAAAACTGCATGTTTTAAGTAGTTGTATCTACATTTATATATTTGGCCCGGTCTAAAAACCTGTATAGATAGAGGAGGCAGCTTCATTGCCCTTCACTTGGTCACAAGGCATGGTGGTTCATCCCGCCTTTCTGTATATTTGTTCCAAAATCTTGAAGCTTTCATTCTAAACCTCAAAAATACAGCAACTTCCATCAAATGGTTTTTGCATGTGTAGGGGAGGGAGAGCCATGGTGATGGGATAGTAAAAGACTTCTTTTTTCGAAGGTCGGGATGGTCAATGAGAAAGAGGAAGGATACCCAATTGGTGGAGGAAGCCCTCCCCAGTGATCACTTCTAGGAGCAAAAGAAGCACTGCCAACATAGCTGCTCTTCCATTCCATGTTTCTGCACTTTTAGTCCAGCCCCACTGCCAGACTACCACAGGTGGTGGCAGTTCCCTACGTTGTGAGTCGTATGCTGCCAATAGCTCTTCCACACTACCAAGAGGAACTAAGGACTGCAGAAATCATTCATATACCAAGAAGAATAGTTAGTTCATCGAATTCGCCTCAACTATTCATCTATCTTTACTCCATCTATTTCACAAATATAAGAGTATAAGACTTGTATTTCATTTTGGTTCGTCTCACAAAGATAGTCCAGTTTTTATATTAGGTGTGCATTTAACATTCTGTTTCCAAGTTCACCCCTATTTATATTTTTTCATTTCCAGAATTCCAAGATATGTGTCATTCAGTAATTAACGTGCAACTTCAAAGAGAAAATTGAGTATGAAATTAATTATTTCAACTTAACCACTACTTCCCTATGAGGTACAGAAAATGAAATTGTATGATTGAGATTTATTGGGAAAGCAGAAATATAATATCAACCTCACAATTCTTTCCATAAAGAGAAATGAAAAAGATAAGTTTGGGGCGAATGGAAAAGAAAGTGTACAGTCAATTTGCGGAGAGATGGATTATTTCTTATATCCCGTGCTACTATGCACAAGCCTATATTTGTGGAACAGAAAGAGTAGTCCAGGATTGCACATTAACCTGCCGAGCTTCAAGATTTGTGACTGCCATTGCTCCCACATATGGAAGGCTTCCAATTACAGCATCTGCCAAATCTGAAATAAAGTTGGGCTCACAGCCTAGTGCAGGGACACGTCCCCAATTTTGTATACCAGACTCCAGAGCTAACTGCTTGTACTCAACATCAATTTCCTCTAACGTCTCAATATGTTCACTGACAAAACTGAGAATATCCGCATATCTAAGTGTATTAGCATTAGCATATTCTAAATGTAGGGCTTGTACGTTGGGAACATGACATGCACCTTATAGGGACAGCAAGAAGACTTTTCACCCCTCTTTGGCCAAGCTCAATGATCGTGGCATCTGTATATGGTTTCAGCCACTCAACAGGGCCAACCCTACTCTGCAGCGCAATAAACTAATTATGGTAAGCGACCAGATATTTATAACCCTGAGAAAAAACAAACCAAAACAAGAGGAGAAAAATAAACTGAATTCAAGATTCAAAGAATAGCTCCAGGATATCAATTTGGGGATAAAAAGAAAGGAGAAATCAAGCTGGTGAATTAGTATAATGCACAATAACTATGCATATTTAGAAGTTTCAAATGATTCAATGCAACCCAATTACACTATCATGTCCTTAGTTTACAGTGAGTTTAGTTTCCATTTGAAAAAGACATAGAAGATAATCACAGATCTAACTGAGATGCAGTTATCACCAAGTTGAAAAAGTAAGTACCTGATATGCAAGGGTATATGCATTATTTACTTTTCTCTTTTCCAATTCTTCCATTATCAAGTCTACACACTCTTCCATCTCAGCCTTGTACGGATCACCTGCTTCCTCAACATAGGCAACTGGTACCCCATGAGCACTGAAAAAGATCATCACCTACAAGAAATGAAGATTCTTAATGGTGGTATAAGAAAAATACAAATTGTGGCCTTAATATTATATGCATCACGCAATGAAAATAAGAGCATAATATAGTGGGGGGGGGGGGACTGAAAAAGAGAATTTACCTCTTCTTGAAGGGGCATTTTCAAATATCATACTCTTAAGTGGCCTGTTTATACCACACGACATGATTTTTTTCATCTCATAGACATGTATTTTGATACTTAAGGTACTTACTCGGAGTACTAAAGAAAATATAAGCTGCAAAATACAAGGTATATGAGATATTTGAATAGAAACCCACCTCCTGTGGGCATTCAAAAATTTCCAACTCCTTTTGAATTAAATCTGCCATTGCTTTAATGTACCCCTTACGCTGATACCAGGAAGGAATTACCGTGTGCTGCATGTTGACTAGATACTCATCCTCCCTGGAGCAAAACACTCATGGATATGTCCATTAGTTTCTGCATAAATACCTATGCGGCACATAGTGCATAAAACAAGATTTTATCCATACCGAAATATACTTTCCAATAGTCGAAGGCTTGAACCGCTGGTGGATATGGAGAACTGGGGGTAAAGAGGGAGCACAACAAGTTTTGTGATCTCATCTCTTTTTATCTACAGATATAAATAACAAACACAATTTAAAAGTCAAAACCTTAAGGTGAACCCATTTGTATCAAAATCAATAAGTTTGATAAAAAACAGATCAATTTTTTTAAAATAATAAAAGCATCAATATATCATGATCACAAAAGCATTTCTCCATAACAGAGAAGTTCTGTAAGAAACAGTGAAATATATTAGGGAGTGTAATTGTTCTTCAGACTTTTTTGGATAGAATCTTAGATCTATGTGTTTCTTTTAAAACTGAGGTAGCTTATGTTTTTTGTTGCAGGGATGTTGCAAATGGGAAAACATAGCATCGAATATTGTAGTAAAAGACCTGCTCAATTGCCTCCTCGGTGAATGGGTGCCAGTAGCGCATACCAACGTAGACATTTGCTGGAACTTCCTTCTCCCAAAGTGCTTTCTTCAATGCTTCAGCCTATATGAATATATATGTTCTCCATTTAAAAATCTACATAGAAAGACTGATAATATCACATGCTCACAACTTAAATATGTTAGGGTATAAAACTTTTCCTAGGCTTGCAACCACGAGCTTGAGCTTTTGGTTGATTTGGTTCCTTGACATATATCAGAGTCAGTAGGTAATGTTCAAGTGCAAGGCTCAAGGAAAAAACAAATCTCACCTCACGTGAGGGGCGTGTTAGAGTATAAAACTTTTCCTCATCTTACAACCACGAGTTTGAGCTTTTGATTGAGTAGGTTCCGTAACAAAATATGGGAGCAAAAGTTCATTATGGACTTATGCCTTAAAGAAACTATATATGCATCAGGACATGGATTTAGTGACTGTAAGTCTGTAAATACGCAATGGCACTTTCAGGTACAATTTGTAATTACTCTGCTCTAAGGAGCATTTAGTAATTCAGCACGACTATCTGCTCAGCTGTTGCCAATCTTATTCAGTCCTGCTATTTTGAAAAGAACTAGATGCCTTGCATCCCTCCTACTTCTTTCATTCACTAATTTAACTGTTTTTTCATTTTATAATCAGATAAGAGTATACATTGAATGATTCACTATAAAACTACACCTATAGATATCTATGGCATTAGTAAATGAGGTTACATTCATGCCTGGTCATCAGTTATCCTTCGAAGAGGAGATCCGCCACCAATGGATGCATACCCTTCTTTGCTCTTTGGAGCTCTAACAACAGATATGAATTGAGCCAATGGCTTTTGCAGGAACTGAAACAGCCTCGGCAATCGAATTATATCCTGCTCGAACCAGACATTTACCAGCAATGAAAAACAGGTCAAATAAAAGCTCAGTGAATCAAATTTAATATAAATATCAGCTCCTTATTGCTCACCGGATCGGAAAATAGGTTAAACAGAAAAGGTTGAACGTCCTCGAGAGTTTCAGGACCGCCGAGGTTGAGCAGCAACACGCCGATCTTGTCATCGGCAACGAGAGGAGCAGTGGATGTTTCCTGGACATTCGAAGTGACTACAGATTGCTCAGCAGAAACGACAGAGCATCTAGCTGGTAGAGAAGATGGTTTGGTCTCCGGCGGTGGCTGGAATTTAGCTATGAAGCAATGACATTGACGAGAAGTCCATTGAGAGGAGCAGAAAGCGATTGAGCGCGTTGGAATCATTTGCTCGGTCTTCGAAGGAAGCCCCGAGGAGTAAACACTGTGCGCCGGCGACGGAGAAATCACCCGGCATGTAATTCCGATCGCCATTGGACGTGTTCGAGAATTTCTGGGTGTGGAGATTTCGCCTGCAAAAGCCTTGAGGTTGGTTTGGCCATCTCCACAAGTTCCGGATAATAACGGCGAAGGGTGGACGACCCGTTTGGACTTTGGATGCTGTGTTGGGTCATGGGTGGGATGGGACTATAGTCCGACCCAAACCCGAAAAGGTAACCCAAATCATTGTTCAATCCTAAAAATTTGTATCGGATTTGAATTGAGAAATTTACTTAAATAAGACTAAAACATAATGACTTTCCTAATATAGGATCATATGTTTTTATTTCCCAATGTAGGACCTTTGGTCATTATCAAGTAGTCATTATTTAACTAAATGTCCATCATTACTGAACATTATTCCTTCCACTAGGTCATTATTAAGTCCTATTTAGGGAATAAAAAAGTTTAAGTCCTACATTAGAAAAGTCATTATGTTTTAGTCTTATTTAGTGCAAATTTCACATTTGAATTAGATTGGATCCAATTTTAAATCAGGCTCAATCCGATCCAATTAAAATTCGGGTTTGACTAGTGTTTCTATGTACATATTTGGGAGAGGATTATGGAAGGTATGATTTATAAATTTTGTGAATAGGGCTATGGAGATGTTCTAAATGGTTGAATGTCATCTATTGATACTGGATCCGTTACTAATAAGGTGATAATGATAATTTTTTGAAAAAATAAAGGAAACTTTTGAAAAAAATGTTAGCATTTTTAATTAAGGGAAAATTCCCACTAATATTTTTAGATTTGGTCGATTGCACAATATTACTCTAAAATTCTACTCTCTCCGTTCCAATTTATATTGACTGTTTCAGTTCACAATATTTAACTGGAATTACTTTCAACTAATTTTATACGAAAAATGTTGTAGAATTAAAAAATAAAATTTACGTATTAAAATACTACATCAAAAGATCTACAAAACTAGTGATGACATGATTATTTTATTTTATCAGATGATTACCAAAAAAGAGAAAGAAAGTAAATAAAGTTTTACCATATGAATTGTAAATAGGTAAATTTAATTTGGGATGGAGGAAATATTTTACATGTCAGTATTTCAAAGAACAACCAAATTTAACATCGTTGCTCTAGTTCGGCTGAATTCACTTCGAACTTAAAGATGTTGCAGACACTATACGCTATACGACAAGGACAAAGAGTAGGGGTGAGCAAGTACTAAACTGATCCCGAAATTTCAAGAAAAAAAACGAGAATACCTAACCGAAAAATATTGAACCAAAAAAGTACCGAAAAGGAACCAAACCGTACTGAACTAACGGTCGGTAAGGTATTTGGGAACGATACGAGGTGACGTCTCATACCGAAAATCCCGAACTGAACATGTATACTAATATATTATACAAATAATAATATTTTTATACTTCTTCACTAAATAATAATTTTATTTTTAAAATTTGGTTCAAGTTCTATTTTGTATAAGTTATACTTTTATTTGAGTTTTAGTTTTTGTATATGAACATAAAAATATTCACAAAGATTTGTTAATTTTTTTTAGTTTGTGAAATATAAGCTAAGTTTCGATACACGTCTCTCCCATTTAAATATTAATTTTTTTAAATTTTTTATATTTTTATTTAAATATACTTTCAATTTTTTAAAAATAAAGGGGCATTGTTACATTTTAGAGCAATGCTAGGAGTACACCAAAGGTTTACCCCATTTGTCCCCCACCCTTTTATCCACCACTCATTTTTATTTATTTATTTATTTGTTTTTGAGTCTCTTGCCCATTTATGTGGACAAGGAGGAGGTGGGGGATAAATGGGGTACACCTTTGGTACCCCTAGCATTTTTCTACATTTTAAGGTGTAAAGTAGGCATGTATGTATTTATCTCGATTTGTACCGAAACCGATATCGAACCATCCAAACCATACCAAACTGATATTTCAGGATCGAGATCGGTACGCTGTAAAATCTCATACCAAATTGGAATGTTTGGTACGATATCGGTACGAGCTAAATACTGTATCATACCGTATCATACTTAGCACTAACAAAAAGGATAGGGCATACGCTATAAGACATTGAGGGCATGTTCTCTTCAATTGGAATTCTAAACTTGAAGTTAAAAGAACTTGAAAAAGAGTTGAAAAAACTAGAAACAATTGAAAAATGTTGAAATCAATAAAGTATTAAAAACACTGAATTAAATGATCACCCAAATAAATATGTAAAAAAATTACTTTTATATGGAAAGAATTCATCTTTGTACGTTATACATCTGTATGTATGATGTTATTGTATATTTATCATATATAAATAATATTTTTAAGTTAATGGAAGAAACTAGAATGAGTTGGAACTGAAAAAAGTGGAGGAGTTAGCAAATATTGGAAGTTCACTTTTTTAATCCAATTGAAAAAAACTCTAAGGGGGCGTTTGGTTTGGGCGTAAGTGAAACGGTAAAGGGAATGAGATTCCTCGATTCCGTTTGTTATCGTTTGTTTAAAAAAAAGTTTATACCGTTTCTCCATTTTTTTGATTTTGGATTACCCTATTTCCCCTTGAACGATTCTCCCCTCCCTGTCAGGATTTCCATTCTCATTCCCCTCTTCCCCTTCCCCTTTCCTAACCCTTCTTCCCCTTCCCTAACCTTTCTTCCCCGTCCATTTCTTCCCCAATCTATGCCTCTCTTTCATCACCTCTTCCAGCGCAGCACGTCCGTTTCTTCCCGCCGTTGCCCCACCGCGTCTCGCCGCCACCCCACCGCGTCTCCCCACCACCCCATCGCGTCTCTTCTTATTACTCCGTATAATTTATAAATGCCCCTTTCGCCACAAAAAGAAAAAAATATTGAAAGTACGGCAAGGATGGGAAGAGTATTATTGCGCCATGCAAAAGGGGACTGTTGTGTTAGTAAACAATAAGAGAAGAACTAACCTCAACGGAAACTGCATCCACCACAAGTCACCATATCTAGGAAAGGTTTTCATGACATTCATATTGAATTGGTCCAATACAACAAATTTATGAACAAAATAAGAAAAGAAACTAGAGTTTTTTAAACATCCAATTCTCATTTCCAACCATCCGAAATCACAATTAACCACAATATACACACAAACCCATGATCTGATTCCAGCAAAAAAGAGTTCAACATTTCTCAGTCGTCGCTAAATTCCATGCTGCCGCTGTGGGAGCTGCTGGGATTGCGACTATGTAAGGAGAGGCGACTGATGTGACCAGATAATGCAGGACTGCCTGGTTTGTTTTCCTGAAAGAACTTTTCCCTCTCTGCATATTTTGCCGGTGGGGGTGGAATCGCGGCGGCAGCCGCTACCGATTTCCCCGGATTACGGTCCTGCTGCTTCTGCTCTAGAGACACTATTGGTCTTATGAGTGGGCGGTGAAGCATATTTCCTGGAATGGTTGATCCCAGCAATCCCAACCGCTGTTCTTTTTTTTCAGGTTGAAGAGGAGCTTTTCCTTTCCTCATTCTATGGCATTTTGTTTATAGCTCAAATGAGACACATACAAGAGTCATGGGAAATACCACTTTAGAGAGTATGCAATCACATAAATACCAAAATTTCTTTCCTTTGGGAGATAAGTTAAATTTAATTTTCAGGTAAGATTGCTATAAATCCAAATGGGATGCAATTTTAGTAAGTTACTCCAAAGAATCTTGAAAGTGCGATTCGGGGATATAAAAAGTGGGCATTCGTAAATTTTGTGTCTATCTAATGTAAGAAAAAAAACAATAAAATAAAATCTCCCTTAACCAAACAAAGGCATCAGAAGCATATGTTGGCACAACATATACTCATGAACTGTTTACCTCCCATGTCAAAAAGTCCCAAGAGGTGTTTGGGAAGGGGGGAAATCTAGGAAATGTTTTTACTTGCTTTTTGCAAAGAGGTGGATTTGAGCACTGGATCTCCTTGAAATAAAATCAAATCCATTTGTGTTGGCCCCTATTACTTCCTATGCAGCATATAATACGTGTATAATACCTTCGGAAAAGCTGCTCAGCCTCCTCATCTTCCCCTTGTTCATTGTGTACAAGAGTTGAAATCTGGGCTGGACGAACGGCTACAAGGGCATCATGCCTTTTGAGAACAATATCAAGTTGTTCATTCAGCTCAACTGCTTTGGAAATAATCGTTTCCTCCCTGAAGAACGGCAACAATGGTTAAAAAAATATACAAATAAATATGTTTCCAAAATCCAAACCACACAGCATCATTTGCAGATCTTAGGAGAGAAATTATTGCCTAGAAGTCATTGCAAGATGCATAATTCTGTGCTTCTGAAACGAACATTGCTCGACAAGATCAAGTGTGAACTCATCCTTTGCTGCCTGTGAAGAAACACATAGCAGAGTCAAGTCTAACGTCTAAGCGTCTCATTATACGAATCTAATTCAAGAGAACTGATTATGGTACACAAGGAGAGCTCAAGTACCTCAGGATGTTGAGTTTCAACAGCATCAAGAACATCCCTTAAGACTTCCATTACTGCACTGGCCTTCTGCAGAACACTGTCCATAGATACAAATGTTTTTAATATTGGGAGCACAAGTAAATCCTACTTTCAGTATATTCAGCCTTCACTAACACTGTATCTCCCATTACATCAATAGATGTAGGTTGGGAGCAGGTTAAAGTTTTAATCCCTTTTAAAGTAAAAAATTGAACGATTTAAACATGTTTGGAGAAGGACACATGATAATGTGCTCTAAATGGAAAATATATAATATGGAGTGTTTGTGTCATCCAGCATTTCTTTTTTTGATATACGGGTCAATAAGCATTTAATATGTACAAATGCATAGAATCATAAACATACATTAAACCGCAACTCTTCAGCATGAAAAGGAAATTGTGAAACACTATAAACAGTATTTTCTCTGTTCATTAACTCTGTTAGAAAACATGAATATGCGGTAATATGATGAGATTGTCTGAAACACAATATTAAAAAATGGTACCTCAGATCAGAAACCTTCTTAGGCTCTTCTTTTGGCACATGGTTTGCGGGCTGAGGTGGTTTACTCTCAATAGGTTTAATCTTGATCTCCTCGGATGATGGGCGGTGCTCTTTCGGAATAGTATTTGGTCTTTGAGGAAACTTCACTCCAGCATTCTGAAAAGATAAAACATCAAACACTACTTTCGGATCAAGATGGTTGCCATCAGAAAACTCAGACCATAATTGCAAGTATAAGAAACAGAGTGCTAGTGAAAGGAAAGATGCTACTTAGGGGAGCTAATAGGAAATGCAAAGGGAGCTAACACATGCTTCCTGAACGTGCTTGGCAAAGGAATTTTTTGAAGATAAGTTAGTTTCTTGAGTTTGGTTTATCTCAGAAAATCCAAAGTAAAATGAAATACCATTTGACATTTTAAGATATTTTTTTAACATAAATTTAAATTTAAGCTCTTTTTTTTTTGGGGGGGGGGGGGGGGGGGGT